TCACCTGTTGCTTTCTGATAACACAGGGAAGGTGTTTGTGGACAGCCAAAAAAGTCTTTGGGCAGTAGTCCAGTTGGCTCCAAAAGGCTATCATGGAGTCATTTTCAAATTTCTCTGTGCAGACTTGTCCCAAGTATTGGCCAGAAGAGAAAAGAAGAACTATTACTAAGCAATATATTTCACATGTTCAAGACTTGCCTCTGCTGTGTGTTTGGCAGGGGTCCCATAAAAATTGCTGCAGAAGCTATCAACATAGTTTTTATGAAGGCATCTTCCATTTTTATCATCCCCAGGTTTCAATAAAAACTATCTCTTTCCACTTCCACAGATGGCAAGAAAAATAGACAGCAGAATATGCTTTCTGCAGATGGTTATTGATTCTCTTTCAGTATATGCCAAATACAGCAGGGATTCTTAATTATTTTTTTAAATTTTAGAATGACAGAACAGAATGATAAATGGATTATATAGAAGACTAAGAAATATTTGTCATAAGAATAAAAATATAAGCCTGCAAATTTGGGAGGTTTAAATTATGAAAAGGGCTCTTCCTTCATTGCTGTGTATTCCTAAATGGCCCATTCATTCATTCATTCATTAAAAAATATTGAGCTCTATGTGAGTGCCAGACACTAAGTTAGACGATGGGGGTTTAGCAAACAGAGAGCAAGGGAGAAGCAATTGATTTCATTTATTTATTTTTGTTCCCCACAAAATTTATACCTTAAGCTATCTGTAGAAAGAAGCTATTGTTAGGTGGAAAATAAGAATTTACGAGAATTGTAATCCATAAATTCTGTTTGTACGTGGTCACTCTTCCCTTGCCCCCCCACATACTTGCTAGATAAAACTCAACTTATTTCCAGGGAAAAGAAAATAATCTTAATTCCTTCTGTCTATTACAGTAGATTAGTCATCTTCCTTTAAATACATCTGCCTCTGTGAGATGGGAATTAGTTGGATCCAGCCCTCAGAAAACTCAAGGTTATCTCCATGATAAACTCCATAAGGGAAGACAGTATATGACCTTTAACATATCTTATCCAACCTCAACTTTCTATCTCAGATTTGTCTTTCATCAAATATTTGATCACCTCTTCTACATAATTAAGAAAATTATTATTAGGCAGTTTTAATGGTATTTTCATTGCTGCTGATTTATAATCCCCCTTCAGCCTTCAGAAGAGATTTGAAACTGCTTAAAATAGAAACCATGTGTGATATAAGGCTTTTAAAATAGAATAACATGGGCCTCCCCGGTGGCGCAGCGTTTGAGCACTGGGTTGCGAAGCTGCCCGCGGCCTCTGCAGCACCCGTTCGATCCCCGGCTGCTCCCCGGCCACCAGAGGAGGGTCCTGCATGGCGCGCAGACCTCTCCTGCTGCCCGCTGCTCCCCTCAGCAGTGTACTTCGGCCCTTCTGCCTGCTCTGCTCCCCGCTCTGGCTCTGGTGAATTTTCTCACCCTCCCACGCTTCTGACTGTACCCAGTGCTTGCATAAACAAAAAACAAACAAACAAATAAATAAATAAAACATGCCTCTATTAAAAAAAAAATAGAATAACATGAAGAAGGGAAGTTTTCTTGTAGTCCCTGTTATTTCTTTCCTAGAAATCACATTCATGCAAGGCTAAGGCACTGCAAACTCCCTCTTCAAAGAAGAAGCTTTCTTCTTTTTAAATTTTTTAAATTTTTTTAATTTATTTTCTTATATCATTGATAATTATTGGGCAGTATTTGATTTCTCCGCTCCTACTTTCTTCTGTTGAAATTGCCATCATGAATGAAGCGCTGACCCTGGGTCAGGCACTCTCCCGTATGTTACAAGCATTAACTTGTCTAGTACCCAAAACATACCAGAAGGGTATTATCATTAACTCTAATTTAAATATGAGAAAACTGAAGTTTAAAGAGGTTAAGCAGCTTGCTCAAAATCACGCAGCTGGTGAGTGGCAGAGAGGGCGCTAAACCAGTTCTGATGCCTCCAGGCCAGAGTGCTTCATCACTAATGAGCGAGATCAGCTTGGTGACTTGTGATCCCTTTTCCAGTGAATAAAGACAGAATAGAAATGATCAGAGTTCACCACACACAGTAAAAGGTAAATAAACAATGTTTTTTTAAAAAAAATTTTCAGTGAGTGTATGCATGCCGAATTGTGATACAAAATTTATTTCTGTGACTATCTTAAAAAAAAAAATTCAATGCCGCTACACTAAAATATATTGACTCTAATTCATTCATTTCTAAATACAAGAGGACTACTAGTTTTTATAAATCTTCCCTCTATAGAAATCTTTACAAGAAAGTTAAGAGATTTAACTATGCCTCTCCCTGTGTGAACAGGCTTAACAAGCTAACCCTCCGAGCCACAAAACAGCATTTTCCTAAAATAGCCAGACCTGACTGGTCTTATGCCCAGTTGCTGATAGTAAATCATTCAACACAGCAGCAATAGCAGAGAAAATATGTTTTGCTTTTGTATGAACAAAAACCCTGTGAGTAGAAAAACATCCAACCTCCCTTCCCTTCATGTCCTCACTCCCTCCCAACCCCCACCCTTCCAGGAAGGCCAGCAGGTGCATCTCAGCAGTCTAAGGGGGAATGTATACTGCTGCATCCAAGAGAGGGCAAGACTCTTTTATGTGTTTGCTGGATTGTAAGGTTTACCATATCTGAAGCTCAACTAACCAAATAATCTGCTCATCCTGTCTAATGATATAACTAACTGTTCAGCATGCATTTGAAACTCAGACCTAACTTTAGTGCCTAATCTTAAACTCCTTCCCTTTAGCAAATGACTATTTGTTAAGCAATGAGAGTCCCAGGTTTTGCTTACTTTATGAGAGCAAGGTAACAGACTAATCTGGTGGTTCCAGATCAGTCTGTTACCTTGCATAACCCTTAGATATAAAGCTGCATTTGCTTGGAGGACCCAAACTTCACAAGGGCATTTCCCTAGCAGCCAGAGTGGAAATGCTTTCACGTTCTCAGTCTTTCTTTTTTCATCTTTAGATGGAAGAAATAATAACAGCCATACAAAGCTGTTATCAAATTAAATAAAATAATTAGGAAAACTCCAGCGTAGGGCAAATGATGGTCAGGCTTTCTGCCTTCCTGCCATTGGGGTTGATGACAGATCCTTGCAGTCCTGAATGCATGCCTGATGGTGCGCACCTGGAGGGTGTGGGCATATGTAGGTGGGTAGACCTGGGCTGAGACTGGGCTCATAAGGGCGGCGTCAAGGAGCGGAACTACCAGAAGAGAGAAAGACCAGCAGGAAGAGAACCAACAGAGATGAAGAGGCCATGAGAGAACACGGGAGAGCCCAGAAGGAGTGAAGATTCGCTGGGGGCTAGGAGACCTGCCAGCCTCCCAGCACCCTGGCACCCCTGCCTGCTGTGTACCTGGTAAAATCCCAATAAAAGCCTGAAAAGTCACCAAGGGCTCCAGGACTCTCCTTTACCTGTCTGCTCGGGTCATAGAGATCCTGCACTGGGCCATCCTGCCTTTACACCCAGCATGAAGTGAATGATTTCCACAAGGTGTGTTCCTGATCCTTCTCTATGAAAAGCATTGTAGTGTCCCAAGGCTAGTCCCAGTCATGATGCAACCTCAAGTTGACATGGTTAAGAATGATGTGCCAACATCCCTCCTCCCTTCAATTAGAAGCCATGCGTGAGTCTACATTTTCCTTAAATCTATTTCTGTGAAGGTTCATCTTGTACTCCTTTTTAAGAAATATATGACTTGGGGCCTCCCCTGATGGTGCAGTGGTTGAGTGCTGGGCTGCGAAGCTGCCCACAGCCTCTGCAGCACCAGTTCGATCCCCGGCCACTGGCGTGGGTCCCACATGGCAAGCAGACCTCTCCTGCTGCACCCGCTGCTCCCCTCAGCAGTGTACTTCATCAGTCTGCCTGTTCTGCTCCCCGCTCTGGCTCTGGTGAATCCTCTCACCCTCCCACGCTTCTGACTGTACCCAGTGCTTGTGTAAATAAATAAATAAATCTTTTAAAAAAAAAGAAATATATGACTTCTATAATTTAGAATATTTATAAAGAACACATCTATTTTTCTAGAAAGTATTCTCAGAATTTCTAAATTTGGGGAATTTTTTGGTCATCCTATCCATAGACACTGTAATTTTACAAATGTTAGTTATATTTACTTTCTGCACATTGTCATTCAACCCACTAGCTTTTCAGCTCTCATTTGTCTTTTTTGTGTGTGTTCCTCGCACAAATGAAGACTATTTTTAATTAGTACTCATTGAGGATGTTAACTTCTAGAAGTACAGATTTCTGATTCAACTGATGTCTTCCTAACACAATGATTTAGTGTGGGCCTCTGGGTTCAGGGACTCAATTATGGTCCGCCTGTGTGACTTTTCAGACAGATGACTGCATTAGCCTTCCCTAACCCTGAAACATGAATGATATCATCCAGTCATAGTTTCATTGAAGAACTGACTGAGAAAAACCACTGTGCCCACTGCCCTACAGACAGCAAGCTCCATGAGTATTAGATACTGTTATTTAGTGTTAGCTCTTATTCAAATGTGAGTCTGGATTTCTCTAATTCACACTGAAACTGTCCTTTTGCATCTATGTTTTTAAATCTACTCAAAGTCCTCTACAGTATTGGTAAGTAAGTAAATTCCTCTGTTTGATATCTAACATTAGCTCATGGTTTTGCCTTTCTGTTTCTAGGAGTAGACAAGTTTTGATTTCATACAAAAGTAGAACAATTGATTTCCTTTTGCTTGCTATTGCCTTCCTGCATCAAATTCAAAATAAACCTGATTCCATTCTCGGGTAAAGCTGACGTTAGTCATGAACATGATTGTTCAAAATGGTACTAAAATTATTGTTCCAGAAATTATGCACTAATAACAGCACCAGAAAACTCAAATAATAAGGTTCTTGTGAAAATTAAATGGGATAATATGGAAAGAGTGAAAACATATTAATTGTTAAATAAAATTTTTGTCCTTTCTATCACTAGGTTTTTTACTGACTGAAGGAAGCACAATAACATCTTTGTGCCCAAAAGGCTACTTCCCCTGTGGAAACCTTACCAAATGCCTACCCCGAGCTTTCCACTGTGATGGCGTGAATGACTGTGGGAATGGTGCTGATGAGGAAAACTGTGGTGAGTCCTCCCAGTGTGCCTCGTGCAAACCTTCTCTTGTCTACCCTCCAAAATGCAGGGGGTTTGAGTAACAACTACAATGAATGGGAAGAGATGGTTTGATATTCTTTAGGGAATACTTTTAAAATGCAAATAATTGCTCCTCAATTTCCTTGTGGTAATTGCCTGAATTTTCAAATACAGAGGCTGCTTAAATCAGAAATAAGTATTATACAAAAGTGAATTTTTAGGCTATAAGATACAATTAGTGGTTATCAGAAGGGAAAGGAGAAGGGAGAAGGAGGTTGAGTAAAAGGGTAAAAGGGATCAGTTGTATAGTGAAAGATGGAATTGTACTTTTAGTAATGAACTTAATATACAGATGCTGATGCATAATGATGGACACCTGAAAGCTATATAATATTGTAAGTTAATGTTACTTCAATAAAATATTTTAAGAGAAAAAGTACAGTATTATAAAATGTTATGTTTGATAAGAATTAGAATTATATTTTAAAATCTACTTTGATATCCATATTTTAATTATAAATGACTTCCTCTGACTACCTTATGATAATTTGATTCAGCTACAAGAATATCCACATAGTGTAAAGGGCCTTCCTAGAGGACTAATTCATTGAACAGCACTGTGCCAGGTGCTCTCCAAATCACAGACACCCAGCAGACTTAAGGAAGCAAGGGGTTTTGCCCTCATGGAGGACAATATACTTGCATATAAGAGTTAAATAATTTTAGAGTGATAAGTGTCATGAAGTATATAAAACAGGATAATGACTTAGAAAGTGACTTGGAGGGAGGACTATTTTAAAGACATAACCACAGAAAGCCTCCCTGAAATACTGGCATTTGAATTGAGAATTAAGGGAAAAGAAGAAAGAAACTGCAAAGTATTGTGGAGGAACTGAATTCCAGGTAAGGAAAATAGCAAGTGCAAAGGCCCTGAGGCTGACCAACCCCAGTTAATGTGTTTGTAGAACAGAAAAGCCAATAGGCTTAAGCGAAATGAACAAGGATATAGAGGGTGAAGGGGTATCAGATCTCAAAAGGTCTGTGTATCAGAACTATTTATATTATCTAATATGTTGTATACTTTTCCTCTTCAAGAAACTGATTCCAAGAGAGACTGATACATCAAGTTAGTCAGAGTAAATGCTAGAACCCAGATCTCATAAATCCGAAAGAATCTGATGTGTTTTCTATCACAGACTGGTACTCCATCGCATTGCCCAACTAGCAATCAAATTGGGAATGCAAAGTCCAGAAATGATGGGCCTCTGTCTCTAGAATCTGCTTTCCCCTCCCTGGAAAGGGAGGATGTGCCTCCCTCTCATGGAACCTTCTCCCCCAACCTCCATGAATCATTCCTACTCATGTTTAGGTTGTAACTCAGGGGTTCCCTTCTCATCTGAGAAGCTTGCTTCCCTGGTACGACGCCTTACCCTGAAGTGTGTCTCCAGTCCAAACCAAATACCCTTTCCGTCTGTTGACATATCACCCAGGTGTACCTGTGTGGTTGTACTAAGGATTGCCTTGTCTTTTCACTGTACTTCTCTCACTAAACAGGAACTACTCACAAAGAGTTCTTATTTACGTTATATTTGTTGTGGTGTCACCAGTGCCTAGAACAGTAGAGTACACAGTAGGTATTCAATGAGTGCTCAGCAATGAAAGTATCTGTGGATGCCAATGAACAAGTCATCAAATTCTCAGCCTTTCCTCTTCACTGCATGGGAATCAGAGATCATGGGGATATACCTACCTCATGAGGCTATTCTAAACATAAACTAAATAATTCATGTATAAGCATCAAGTAGAACCATTTTAAAAACATTGAGGCTACTAATGAGAAATTGAAATAAATTAAAACTTGTAGGGTTCAAGTGGACCTATGGGCAATTATTTAAATTTACTTTTCTACTTGTAGCAATCAAAATCATGCATTATAATGTGTGTCTTATTTTAATAGTATATGCTAAAGTAATGATACTTCAAAGTCAGTCCTTTTTTTAAAGAATATAATTTTATACAAAAAAGAGGGAAATGTGACAAGCAGATCACATCCTCTGACAAACCGAAGAAATATTTCTCTCAACAGGATTAGACAACCTTTATTAAATAGAACTTTGTTTATTAAAAAGACCAGGTGACATAGTTTTTATCAGAATTCATTACATTTATTGAGTATGTATATATACCTATGCAACAGTATACATATGACAAAATAAAATTCAGATCATATTTTCTTCTGAGGACCTCAGAATTAAGATCACACATTTTAAATGTTCACATTGGGAATAGGTAATATTTTTCAAGATGGAAATACATGTATGTAAAATAGTTATCTATTTCCATGACATATTTGTGCTACATACATTTGAAATACTCATAATTGCAAAATAAAAAAAGTGGGAAACTCCAGATGTTTGCCTAGCTTTTTCTCCCTTACTATTGATGTGTCATTCTATTACTTAAATTTTACTTGATTTCATTATCACATTTTCATATTTTGTTTTGTAATTTGATATTTGGTTATAGACTAACTGACCCATATTCATCACCATTTCACAGGCGACACTAGTGGATGGGCGACTATATTTGGCACAGTCCATGGAAATGCTAATAATGTGGCATTCACACAGGAGTGCTGTAAGTGGTATTGGTTCAAAGACTCAGAATCAACTTTTGCTAGCAGCATGATTTGTGGTGCATGGATTTATATGTGTAGTGTGATAAATTTCCTTTCAAATTTCAATGTATTTCAGCGGACACAGATTTATTGTCTGTTGGTGGGTATGAAAAGATAAAAAGAAAAAGCAGCGTGTTCTAATGTTATGTATTAGCTGGTGATTGCAAGAATATATGGGTGTTGAATAATCGTGACAAATAATCAAAGTTTTATTCCCTTTCATTACTTTTTCAATAAAAATATTGAGCACCAACTACTTTTGAGTCCTTACGTTAGGCACCAAAAATACAATGATAACTAAGAGGTGGTCCCAGCTACAAATGCCTTCCATTGTAGCAGGAGAGACAAACCCTTTTAGAAATAGGAAATAATACAACATTAAAGCTACACTGGCAGAATGGCATTCACACAGGGTATGTGGAAGGCCAACAAAAACAATGATGCCTGTGCCAGCGATGGGAAAAGATCATCAGAGAAAATGACATGGAGATGGACTTTGAAGCCCATGGATAGAGGAGAGGGTAAGAGATGACAGAATGAACAGAGGAGCAAGATTAGCAAAACACTGGGGTTGGAAGGTACAGAGCATGCTTTCCAGCACCTTTCACAGTGGTTTGGAGTGTATCTATATTAAATGCAACACTAACAGCATAGTATGCACTTTATAACACCAGTTTATAATTACACTTATTATATGCTTCATTATTCACAAGTATATAAGGAAAATTAGAAAAAAATTAAAAATGTAACTGAAAGTTCTAATATTTTCTTCCTGAACTTCAGTGGATCACCTTCATCTGTCTCATTGTGAAGATCTCTGCTGCATACAATGGACCACCACCAAACGTGTGGGCTTATTTTCCTTTAATGTACAGGAAGGAGTACATGATAAGAAGTGAATGTGAGAATGATTCTATCAGACCTGTAGAGAAGGATTAGCATAGTGGTATTCAACCTGGGACAATTTGTCTCCAGAGAATCTGGGGTGAAGAGAACACTTCTTAGGATAATTTTGATTGAGACAACTGGAGGGGCAGTTTGCAACTGGTATCTAGTGAGTAGAGGCCAAGGATGCTACTGACACTCTTTAATGCACACAGCAGCCCCTACAGCGGAGAATGGTCATCCAAATATCAACCTTGCCAAAGTTGAAGAGAAAGAATGAAGATACTGATGATTGTTTCTTGCAATGTTGCAGACTAATACTAAGAGTCTGAGCCAGGAAGAGTGAGGTGGAAAGAGATGCAATAAGCATTTGAGATGCAATAAGCACAGAGCTTAAGGGTATGAGGCCTACAAGAGAAGACATTGTGTCACATTACTGGTTTAGGCCACAAGTCCAGCTTGGTCTATATGGAATTATATCATTAGCAAATTGGAGTTTCTAACACCATATTTTCAATTTTATACCAATCTAAAATTTAACTGATGTTATTATTCCCATTAATGAGTTACCCAGTCCTATTAATGTTTTTCTTTAAGTACTTAATCTTGCTTCACTCTATGCTTTTATGTTATATAAAAACTTCTGTTGTTTCTTTTTTGTCACTTTTAAAATGTCTCTGAACTGACTGCTGAAAACAAGACTGATTGAGATAAACACCACATTTGTCTATATATTTGACTAAGAGAGAATTGTTATTTGCTTATAGGCCTGAACTAGTCTATATAGCAAGATGTAAATGTTAAGCATTCAATGAAAACATAACAGTGTCAGTTAAAGTCATATTTAAAGACAAGTACTTTTTTCCTAGTGAATCTGCTCTTTTTGTCCTCTAGTTCTTAACCAGTATCCACAAGACTGTGACTGCAAAGACACGGAACTAGAATGTGTAAATGCTGGCTTAATGTCTGTGCCCACCATCTCCAGCAATGTGACATTACTGTGAGTAGAGTTCAAATCCTGAGGAAATTTGCCCTTAAAGTCATATGAAAACCATGTTATCTCATCCAATCTCTCTTTGTTCTACTTGCTGCAATTGTATAGTAACAACATAATAGAAACTGCCTTTAAAACCACTGGCCATCAGAAAATCTCACATGATTCCCTCCAGGAGAAAAATGTCTTAAACACTGTATGTTAGACAAGTTGTCCTTTAGCTCACAGATGACTGTGGTCTGATACTCTTATTTTCAATTACTTTCTGATTTATGTATTATTATCCATATGCCAGCACTGTACAAGTCCAAATAAAAATTTTAAAAAGAACAGCACTCATTTATACTATCTTACTTTTAATGGTGTAATTTGTCCAAAGCTACAAAGGTATAAAAGATCCATCAAGGTAATCATGTAATCATGCCAGTTTTCCTGTATTTTGCATAAACATTTTGAGAATCTCAAGAATTTGCTGTCATGTCATGACTTAGGCATGCATGACATGCTTAAATTTTTTACTTTTGGTTTTGTCTTTGTGTTTTATTAAAATGCCAAGAGAGTAAAAGAAAATGTTGCCTTACCATAGAATCCAGTCATTATGCTGACTAATCTTGTCAAATATTTGAAAACTTCTTTAATTTTGGTCTATGAACTTTTCATTTTCATGTAAGGAAGTTTTCAGTTGCTGTGGTCACTTTCAAATGTGTGTTAAGTAGCATGGACCATCACCAGATACACTCTTCTCAAACACACAGCTTCAAAGGAAGAGCTTGTTTGGTCGTAAGATCCATAATGAACTCTGATTTACATGTTATTTGTTATTTTAGGTCCCTTAAGAAAAACAAAATTCACAGTCTTCCAGGAAAAGTTTTCATCAAATATCCAGAACTTGAAAAGATGTAAGTAGCCATCAATAGTGTTTTTACAGGAAAATTTTTGTGATACTTTCCTTAAGATGTTTTTGGTCTAAAAAGAAATGAAATAGTAAATTGATTACCTTTATCATTAATTTTCTAAATGTAATTAACATTAGAAAATAAAGCAGTGAAATGCATGTTATTTTTCCATTTCATAATTTAAAGTAGTTGAATAGATTTTAAATTTTTTTGAGAGACTTAAATTGGAATTGTAATCAAGAATCTCAATAAGAACATACATATCCCCATTATTCTACTCAAGACCATCTGGAAAATGACACTACAGAATAAAAGGCACTGGATACATATTTCAAGTTGGAAGAAGTTTGTTTGTTTTTTTTCGCCACCAGGGGAGGCCCTAACTACCATTTTAAATATGGAATTTTCTCTTTGTTTAGAAAAACCTCTAAAAACAGAGGGTTTTTTTGTTTGTCCGTTTTTTTGGTGTCTTGTTTTGAAAAGTGGTTACTCAGCTGTTGACCTTTGCCTTCACTATCACTGCTTTTGGTGATGTGCCTATAAAGATGTCTTTGATGTGCATATCATGTAGTGTTTTGCCTATATTTCTTTCTATGTATTTTAAGGTTTCAGGTCTTATGTCTAGTTCTTTAATCCATTTTGAGTTGGTTTTTGTACATGGTGTTAGGTGGTAGTCAAGCTTCATTCTTTTGTATGTAGCGACCCAGTTTTCCTAGCACCATTTACTGAACAAACTTTCTTTGCTCCAATGCATATTCTTTGCTCCTTTGTCAAAGATTAGTTGACCATAAATCTGTGGGTTTATTTCTGAATTTTCTTTTTTTTTTTACTGAATTATGTAAACTAGTTTATTTTAAACATTTTTAGAATTTTTTTAAAGATTTATTTTTTTTTTAAATAATAAATTTTATTTTTATATTCCCATACAATTGCAACCCCCTTATTTTGACCCCAATCCCTCCCCTCCCACCCCCCACCCCTCACCCCCCAAAAAGTGTCTCTGGTTCATAGTTTTTTGTTGATTTTGATTTTCACTTTCTTATAGTTATTCATTTTCCTGGTCCCTTATTTAAGTTTTCTAGATTCCTGCTATGAGTGAGTTTTAACATAGAAAATAGCAATCAGATCATTTTAAATACATAATGTGGGATGCAAACTGTCTATCAGGATAATAAAAGAAAAAATTATCTTAGTGAGACCTGTGATATTAGCATATCTAAAGAAAATGATAATATAAAGGGTACTTTCAGCAATGAAGAAATGGTAGCCAATCAGAAACAAAGTATTGGGGTTATTCTAGCATCATCCAGAAAGAAAACCAGGGTCTAAGAGATATAATTCCTAGATATAGTCTCTTGGGAGTCAGGCATTATTTGTGGCTCTCCACTACAAATTGCATGGACTCTTTTCTGACATGATGCATCTAGATGGAGATCCCTTCTCCTTTGATTCCTTCCTCACCTGCACTTTATGATGGCTGCAATTACCTCCCAAATTATTTATACAAAATTATTTGGGAAGTTACCTTGGATAGGGAATAAGGACATTCCTAATAGTGGAATGGGTTCTCTGCTTTTTAAATAGACATTGAGAATATTCATCCTCTCATGAGTTTGCTTACTGTGTGTCAGTTCCTCAGAACTCAGTCACTCTGGGATAATGGAGAGATCAAATTTCTATGCTTTCTAAGGTGATCATTAGACTAAGTTTTAGAAGTGTCAAGGCAATGCTATAAAGGTCCCATAGCAGTACCATCATCTCATTTTATCCTTCAATATTCAGCATAGAGGAGAAAGTATCTAGAAATATGTTTAAATCCAGTAATAAAAATAATCTGATCCTTTGTTGGATAAACTCATTTGGTTTGAAATTCCATCAACAATTTTGTGCAGTTCATGAATTTAGGTATAGATTCCCCCAACAAGAGAAGTCACAAAAGGAAGTCTGATAGTGAGATAGAATCTTGTGTGAACACAGATTATCATACTAGCATTTAAGTATAGCCTCTGTAAAGCCCTTCTTGAGCCAGGACCTTCTGCTCTATTCCAGAACTTGTGCTTGAAGTGTCATCACACTGGAGCAGCTCCCTAGAAAGGAAATTCAAGCTTTTCTGTTTCCAGTCTTACTGGAAATCCTTAGAATTATGACATGATCATTGTATGAATCAATATTGTCCTTGCACTGCCTGAATTATGCTCAATGAAGGGAAAACAAAATAGCACTAACACAGAAAAGAGCTTCATGTTTTAGAATAGCATTTGAATATTATTATCTAGAGCCAGAGAAGTTTTGTGAATATCTAATTGAATCTTGCCATTATTCTTAAGGTAGGGAAGTCTGCAATAGTCAAATAATTTACCAAACCCTATTATTAGTTAGTGGAAGAGCTAAAGTTAAAATCCATATCTTCTTAAACCTAACATAGTGTTTATTCTATAATAGCCAGAAACCTAGCAGTGGAAAAAAATTGCTCTAACATCTATTTGAATCTTCTACCACGCACTGTACAACTTCCCCATGCAGAATCCCTCTGTGTGCTTTTTGTTCCCTCATTTGGAAAGACTTGATTTCTGGGGAGGCAGAGGGATCATTAGCGGGTCAAGGAAGTAGAATTAAATTAAACTTCTAGGGCTAAGTCCTTTCCTGGACTACTGATTCATAACCTAGTTCTGTGTCACTATTTTTTACATGGAAACTGTAACCCACTGAAAATTATCGAAAACTAACTTTGATAACTCAGGCCCCTATCTTTTCCCCTGGAGAAAGTGTGGGGATTAATCTCAATTATCTGGGGCAGATGGAAACTTTTCCAAACAAATGTTTAATTCTACTTCGAAAACACAGCTACTGCAGTATGACCTGAATATCCCTCAGCAGTGGTTGTCCTGATGCACGCTGTGATTTGATGCTCTCTAGACAATTGGATTCTCCCAGAGACTCATAAAAAAGAAATTATGAGACAACCATCAATAAATACTTGCTGTCTATTATGTGTAATCTAAAGTGTGGTGGGATAAAACAGAATTTCTTACATTCATATATCACTTTTCAAAGTTTACAAAGAATTCTAACATTCAGAGTTTGATACCCAGAGTCTGTGAGGTGGGACAGACTCACTAGATCCTTTTCAGGAGTGAGGAACCCACTCTTGGAAGAGAGAGCTTATGCAGAGTCAGCTGGAAAGAGTTCATGCTTCATCTCAAAGCTAAACCTCAAGTTCTTTACAAGCATTATTCAAATATCCTAAAGCAACCCATTTGTTCAACAATCCTTCCTTAAGTATCCTTGCCTCGCAGGCCCTCCCCTTCACTCCTCCTGCAGCTCTTTTCCAAATCCCAGAAAAATCTCAAGACTCAGCCAGCCCCTTGTCTTTCCTGTTCTTCTACTCGAACCATTTACCTTCACAATTCTGTGTTAGTACAGCCCAAATAACCACCAAAGCAAAACCCAAACCATCCTCAGGAAAAGGTGTCAAGAGAAGGGAGAATCTAGATGGACAACACAGAAGCCTTAGTAGCAGATAGTAGGAAGTTAAAAATTGCCAGAACCCTCTTGTTCATTTATTCTTTCAACAAATTTGTGCTGAAACCTATTAAGGTGCCAGAGGCTGAGGACACAAGAAGAAAGAACATTATGAAAACCTCTCTTCAGGATCATCCAATAGCGGAGAATAGACAATAAAATAAAATACATTTTAATAATGTTTTAAAAATTTGTAATATAGAAATTAGGTTATAGAGAAATATAAACCACGAAAGGAATATGAGAATGTTAAGGGAGTGGGATTTCAAACAGTATGCTGGCAAATTGTGTACTATCACATAGCTCTGCTGCCACCCGAGGTATCACTAAAGCTCCCCAGCATTCTTAAAGATATCCCAAGGACTGATCAGAATGCATAACTCCTCAGATGTGTAAAGCTGGGTGTTATTACCCTGCACCATATCACAAGTCTCTTCTCCCAACAACCTCCATTCATTATGTTATTTTCCCCAAAGAGTCTGCTTTCACATCTGTTCATTATCTGGTCACACTAATCTGTATATTTTCACCTAAATTCTCATGTGAGAATTCAGAATAAATTATAATGTTATCACTGTGATTTGACCAGCCAGAACAGGATGAAGTTAGCAGCGACCCTTTCCTCCTAAACATCATGTGCGCTAAAGCTACATCTGCTCTATGCTAAGTGATCACTTCTCCATCCTGTACATGTGTGTTTAGATTTGAGAGCTGTTTGTGGGTCTTTACATGTACCCCCTATTCAATTTCATCTTGTTAGATTTGGCTTTTTTTTTTCAACCAAACTGTGGAGATATCTCTAGATTATTTAACATATTTCCTGTTCCTCCTAGCATTCTGCCATCTTAAAATAAGATAAACCTTTTTACCTAAGTCATGGAATAAAATACTGAAGAAGACAGTGCCAAACCATCTATCCAGAGTCGTTCATTATCACCCTCTGGATAATGTATATTGTTCTTTATTTTGTCCATAAAAAAATCGTAAAACCACTTGATCAATGTCTGGTGGCCATGTAAGCACTACTGCCACATGTTTTGTGCGATCACTCCATTAAAGAAGGAAACCAGGTTGTCCTACTTCTCATCAATGGCCCTGTTCAACTTCTCTTGAGGTGCTCACAGAGAAGCCCCTTAACAGCCGGGATCTTCCCCAGGATCAACATGGAGCTCATGCTAGAGCTTATGAAGTCTACACCTTCCCTTTTTTGAAAAAGCAAATCTACATTTGCCATGTTTAATTTATTTCCTCCTTAAATTAGAAACTGCTCCTCTCCTGGCTCGATTCTTCAGTAAGTGATCATGATTTAGTGTTCTCATTTTTGCCATTTCTCAATTTTTAAAAGAAATTTTCCAAACCAGAGGGCTTTAACTCATTTTGATTAACCACAATGGGCTTGCACTGCCTTTCCCCCCATATTCTTTTCATTCACTTCAGTCCTGAGATCATCTTCTGGGACTGAGAAGAAAGGACAAATTAAGAGTTGAGATGTGAGTGGTGTTTCTTTTATATATTTCATAATATTATAAAGTGGGGCCCATGTAGCAGGCTTGGATTTTTTCTTAACATTTTCTTATTTCTAAAACATAACCAGAAATGCTTTTCTGTTGCCCACAGATTCTTCACTCCCTGAGTTTTGAACATGACTTTGGTCATTCTTTCTGCCATGATTCCATATTGTGAACCACACACATTCATCCTTGAATTTTGAAGAAATCCTTCTTTTGAGATGGGTGGTCCTTCTGTCCTCTCATAGCACCATACCCACCCTTCCCTCATCATAGCATAGGCTGAAAACACACATTGCAAGGGCTCAGCGAGGATCAATGACTATTGGTTAAAGGAATGAGATTCAGGAATAACATGCAGGACTAAAGAGAAGGTGGGGCACATTTTTGACAGGAAGAATAAAGAAACATAAGGAGAAACACAAGGGTAATGGGCAGAGGATAATTTTGGCAGTTTATCTGAAGAAGATGCTGGAGCCTATGTTGGAGAGGTCACTGAATCATGGTTGTGGGGCTTTTGAATGCCAGGCTTAAAAAAATCTGGGCCTGGGCCTCCCCTGGTGGCTCAGTGGTTGAGCGCTGGGCTGTGAAACTGCCCGCAGCCTCTGCAGCACCCATTCAATCCCTGGCCTCTGGCGAGGGTCCCACATGGCACGCAGACGTCTCCTGCTGCACCGGCTGCTCCCCTCAGCAGTGCATTTCATCAGTCTGCCTGTTCTGCTCCCTGCTCTGGCTCTGGTGAATTCTCTCACCCTCCCGCGCTTCTGACTTTACCCAGTGCTTGTATAAATAAATAAATAAATCTTTAAAAAAAAAAAAAAAAAGAGGTTTTTTAAAAAAAAATCTGGGACTTATTCTGTTTAAGCAAGAAAAAGACAGATGTAAATATGTATTTTAGATTGCATTGAGCTCAAAAAGTTGATGTTCATTTTTAAGTTGTATTGGGATATATCCAAGAGATAAGTGAATTTTACATTGACTTTTTGGCCTGGGGTGCTCTAAATGTTCACAATGGAGCTGAGGTCATTTAGACATCCAGAAAAGTTAATTCCTAAATAAAACTGAAATTTTAATTGCTAGATGAATAAATGTTGTTCAGCTAATCTGAGTGTTTTTACTATTGATCAGTTTATTTGTTTTAATAATCTTTCAAAATATCAAGCCTCTCTAACAAAGGGAGGGCAATCTAAGATGACCTTTCAGAGTAATAAAACATAATTTATGAGATTGACTATAATACTTTATCACTGCTACCATGGAAACCAACAGCAGTTCTCATTGTAACAGAAACCATATAAAAAATTCCTTTTTAAAATAGGTTTCGTTCAACACAATCATTGGCAACAAATGTAATTCAAGAGTCTGCTTGGCTCATGAATACAAAATGTTGTATTAAAAAATAGCCTATAAACATGCATGTCATTAAAGCATTTATTTGGTTTAGTTTCAGGTACATAAATTCCTGGCGTTTCTGCTTGAAAAGTCCTGACAGCTGAAACAGCAGGAATTCATGAACCAGTAAGTTATTCTTAGAAAGCCATTCAATGTAAAGTATATTAAATGGGCTCATATCTCAACTCTGAATAAAAAGAGGACACCACTTGCCAAATTGTCATGTTTCCAAACTTCCCCTTATATTCATCAAGCTACTCTTCTGCACAGTACATGGATACTAAAGGATCAAGTTAAAATTCAGCAACCTAAATCTGAAACAAGGAACGAGGGACTCTAGTTTTCTATGGGGTGCCAGCATGCAGACTAAATTGAAGACTAGAGTCTCCTTATTTTGAACGTATAAATCTTAACTAGAGTCAGTAAAAGGAGATAGGCTGTACATGTCAGGTAAGTACACACAAGGTCAAATTCACAATTTATGGTCCTTTTCAAGATGTGACATGTAGGTAAATGTGCATTACACTTCTGAATTAATTATCCTTAATAAAATGTAAGTAGCACTAGTTAAGTAGTAAATTTTACTTTTAAAATAAACTTCAACATATCTATAACATTATATTCTTTTCCTGTTTTCATTTTTCTATTGAATCCTAATTCGTCGTCCTAATTTTCATTACATCAATCCAACAGCTCTGAAAATGCTAAAACTGATTGACTCTATATGGATTCAATCTTCTCATACCACAACTTTAAACCAAAAGTAGAATTTTTTGCTGTAGGGTGAAAGCATCTCCTCAAACAGAATGGAGGGAGAAGGAGGTCGTTTTCAAGTTTACTTAGGATTGAAACTGATGCTTTGCATATGGTTATAGAGATAATGCATGTGCTCTGCAGTACCAACCTTTTCCACATGGTGGTACACAGAGAAAATGACATAATTTGTTCTGAGAATGGATTTGTTAATAATAACTAGAAACTGATCGGCACTTTTCCTGTCACGCCTGTAATGCTTACATGAGTTGCATGGGGTAGTAATTGTGGTATAGCAAAAATGAGAATATAGCCAGATTCCAAATGAACATATGTTTTGCCAGTAGTTTTACAGTAGAGTATCATAGCAATGCTGTATATTATTTTAGCAACTAATTTAAATCAAAATAAGAGATATGGACATCATTTAAAATACTACGTAGTCATTAATTAATATTATTTGTGTGGCTATTTCCTGCCCCTAAAGGCATTTAGAAACTGTGAATCAGGGCTAATTATCAAATAATATATACAGGAAATGGAAATTATTTATTCAGATCACCCAACTGTGCTATTTTAAATCAATGCTATATTGCTAATTTGTTTCAGAGGTTAAGTAAATCATGACTCTGTGATCTGAAAGTGGTATATGAGTCCCTGTTCTGCTACTGATGATATTCATGACCTTGAGCACCTTGTTAACTGCTTTGCGCTGGTTGTTCTGCTTCTCAAAATAAAAAAAGAATAAGATTTGCCCTCTCCCTTTTTTAGTGGGAATAAAATGAACATGAATGAGGAGTTACAGGTGGAACTCTGCTGAGCAAGTACAGAAGCTCAGCACTGAGAGTGGCTTGTCTCATCTGGTGAGCAGCTCCTCCAGTCAGTAAAAGGAGGCCCTGCAGTTCCTCAAACATTATCACATAGGAGCTCAGTGGACCAATCAGGATCTGTTGCCTGAGTACTTTGAGGATAGGCCAGAGCCATCTCTCAATAGAAAACATCTACTTCGCAACAGGAGAACAGAACTTGGGACTTTATAAACCAGTTTCACGAACTGGGTGAAGAAAGGGGAGCTTACATTCAATCACCTAATGAAGTACGTAAACCATAATCACATGACTTTTTTCTTATTCCTACCAGATTTCTCCAGTATAATTGTATTAGACACATATCCAGGAAAGCATTTTTTGGATTGTATAATCTGCAAATATTGTGAGTAATTTCTTTATAATTATACTTTGAGTATAATTTTAAGAAAAGATTAAAATCATACTTCTTAAAGGTTTGACCTGGTTGTAGGGAAATGGGAGGCATAGTACTTATCAAAAAGTACTTGGATTAGTTATTACACTGAAATACTTATACAAGATTTCTGATTTTACCAGAGAATCTATATTAAGGCTCTCCTTGGCCTTGTCTTCTCCAGTTTGGGTCACTTCCACAAAACTTAACACTTTTTTCTAAGTTTTGCTATTTCACCTACATACTCATAAAATGCTAGTCTACCAAACAATATGAAAAGGAAAAGCATAAAGGAAAAAGCATAAAACTCACTCCACATATTTATTGTACTCTTATACTCTGACATAATATCCCAATACTTTTCTTGCCTTGGCCCTGACCCTGGTGTTGCACACACTAGTGGTTACCTGTATATCCTGAAGATTCTTTGATTTCTGCCCCTCTGCTCACCAGCAGAATGCTTTTGGAAACAGATGTTATTTTTCGTAATAATCATCATCAGAGGTTAATATTTGAATTATATGTGACTAAAGTGGAGTACTGAGTTTGCCTAATTAACCCCCCTGTGCTGTTTGTAGATATCTCAGCCACAATTGCATCACAACTCTCAGACCTGGAGTATTCAAAGACTTACATCAGCTAACTTGGCTGTAAGTATTCTAGTTTTTTCTTCACTCACAAAGTATCACAGTCTTAATAAAGTACATAAATGCACAGTTTCACTCTATTTATATATCCTGTTTATTGTACTTATTTTTGTCATATAATCTGGACCACTTTACCCAAGCAGTTCTGACAATTGCATCCCAGATGGTAGTTATGTGAAAAGAAATGGGTGCCAAGCTTCCAGGTAGCCTTCGAGCCCAGCGGTAGGCTTCCGGAGCCATCTGTCCCCTGGTGTGCATCATCCATGTAGGGGGTTTCTCAGGCTTAACACTCTTGGCACTTTGCCAAGAAAATTCTTTACTAGGGACCAAAGAGGGTATGTCCTATATATTTTTGGATGTTTAGCCGCATCTGTGATCTCTACCCTACTAGAACTCCGTAGTAATACTCATTCCCAGAGTTGTGACAACCTAAAATATCCCCCAGACACTGCCCATGTCTCTTGGAGAGAAAGGAGGGAAAGGAGAGAGCACCCTCTATGGAAAACCACTAACCTAGAAAGTAAGCAAGTTAAGGACTTTTTTGATTTTTCAGAGATAAGTCTGATAATATGATAGCTTGTGGTGTTTCACCTCTTTGCTTACTAAGCCATCAACAACATCCCAAGGAGTCCCCTCAGAAGTTTGTGTTTTCATCAAAAAATGAACAAAGTGCAGGCAGGAGACACTCTGTGCCAGACTTACCATTTTCTGTGGGTGAGTCTGATCTTACAGAAGAGCAGAATCCAGCTTCAACCAGATCCATGTGTGTGCTGTGGCCCAATGTTTAATGATCCAAGCAACTTTCTTAATCTTCCTAGGCCTCTTTGTCCTCACTCATAAACTACAATCACAGTTCCTTTGTAAGAGGACTATTGAGAGAACTAAATCACTTAGCATATAGAAAGTGCACATACAGTGATATACAGTTGGTGCTCAATGTAACTACCTTCTTCAATTCCTATCCTCGCCAACTACAGAGAGTAAAAGGAAATAGTACTTGGTTTCAGAGGTAACAAAAGGTAAGAAGGCACAATTCCCAAGTCTAATTTTTTCTAGAAAATATCATATGTAATTAATAACAGTGATACAAATACTTTTACTCTTTACCCTCAAATTTCCTAACAGACTTATCCGTACATATCTTATTGAATGCATTATTTAAACACCATGAGACCAAAGAACCATTCATGATTTTTAAGTAGGAAGTTTTTTCATTCATTCATTCTTCACTCAGCAATTAGGATCAGATGATATCATATACAGAGCCCATATTTGGTCAGTAAATAAGGGAAGCTTGTGCTGGACCCAGGTATCCAGAGGTGAAAGGTACAACTTGAGTCTTTCAGTCCAGTGGGAGGTGGATACAGGGAGAGAAACCAATCTGAATGGACTTGAATAGTGCTGGCGGGGAAGGGAGAGTTATGAGGATTTGGAGGTAAGAATTGCTACAACCACAGGGTGAAGGAAAGGTTGTCAAGGAGGAGAGCTGCCAGCCAAATGTGGGAGTACACAGAGAAGAGGAGCAAGTTGGGGGGAGGTAGGACTGTGATGGGTCTTCTATTTTTTCCTGGTTTTATTTCACAAATGTCTCTAATGTTGGAAATGTTTGTGATATATTTTGTCAGAATTCTAGATGACAATCCAATAACCAGAATTTCTCAGCGGTTGTTTACTGGATTAAATTCCTTGTTTTTCCTGTAAGTATTCATCTACTTTTCACTATGCTGTCTACAATTTGCAATGAAATCTAGCTCTAGTTTACAAAAAAACTTTAAGAAAATCAAAAATGTGTATTAGTGAAATCCTTTTTGTAGTTGCATTTGCAATTACCACTGCTACTTCCAGGCCATGACTCCTGGTATATATTGAGCTTTTCGGTAGATTTCTTTTTGAATCCCTTGCATGTCCTTTTGTTCTAAAGCATGTTTTTATTCACAATGTTTGACAAAGATAACACCCATGTCAATTTCCTCGCTGCATTTAAATACGTTAGACTCTCCCAGGAGTTCAGCACCAAATACATTTTAACAGAGGAAGAGGTGCCTTTACCCAGCAAGAATCACTGAAAAATTCAAAATCTTTAGCTTACCAACAGGGTTGTTCTCATAATTACATTTCCACTACTTGTTCATACACTGGAAGTTCCATCAGCAGGGGATCATCTTGTTCCTTTACAGTTGATTGTAGAGCTTTATTTTCCATTTTTCAAAAGGAATCATGATGTCACAAATTAATCATGCCACTTAATGTTTTCAAGAGTTGTTTTTGTTCCCCAAATTTCCATCCCATAACTTCTAAGGTTTGATGCAGTTTTCAAGGTGGCCTTTACTATTGTAAATGATTAATGTTTCCCTTTAGAAGAAACTTAGGCTGTCTAGTATTGGAAATGATTGCAAATTTGAAGTTCACAGGGAAAATTACCATGAATTTCAAAATTATTACACAAAATATACTTTAGTTTCATCTCATAAAATTAAACTACATAATATTTATTCCTTGGTAATGTATTACACTCATGCATTCACAGTTTCATTGACATTTGCTCTCCTACCTGTGCTATACAATATCTAAAGACCACTTTTAAGTGGTAGTTATGTTTATATTATTCATCCTAATATATCAATTTTATCATGGAAGTCTCCGAAATGTGGAGAGAGTGAAAATGCTGTCCTTAAAGTGGTAGATCATTTTGCTTCTAATTAACATCTTCTTTGTAAAGGTCTATGATTAATAACTACTTAGAAGCTCTTCCCAGGCAGATGTGTGCCCACATGCCTCAACTCAACTGGATGTGAGTATGCATTTAGTATCTAATTTGTTGTTCACCCAGGAAACTAGCACCTAAATTCAAGAATTGAAAGAGCCCATCTATGATCTTTCTAAAACCAAAATCTGATCATATAATTTCTTCCTCGTTTAAACTCCTCCATGGGATAAAATTCAAAATTGCCCTTGAGCACACAAGAGCCCTCATTTTCTATCTCTTACACACTTAGTCTCTTTCACTACCCCGCTTCCTGATGGGCCTTCCTTCCACATGTACCAAACTACCTCTTCTATAATCAATTAACTTCAGAAGTCTTGCTCCTTTATTGTTTTTGGTAACTCCAAGAATTCTTTCAACAGTCAGCCTAAACATCACCTCCAGGAAGTTGTCTGACACAGCAGCCAGCATCAGTGACTGCCTTTGTGTTCCCATGACATCAGAAACAGACTTCCCACCATGCCACCCATTTTCTACACTACACATCTTCTCACAGGATTATCTTGATAGACTCATTGATTTGTCGTATATTATTCTATAAACTCTATGTACCTGCAACTTTTCTTATGATTTTATACTCCAGCATTAGCACAATGATTAGCATATAATAGGTGCTCAATGAATCTTAGCTAAGTGAATGTTCAAACCATTTCGACTACTCTTGAAGTGGAACTTTGAAACAATACCTGTTCAAGACATTTGTGTAAGTTACTATGAGTTCAGCACCACTACCCACCGCTCCCTTTGTGCTCATCCTCACCGTCTCTGGACATGGCAATATTGTCACAGGCAGCTATTTCCTACTCTATGAAAATGCTGAGTGTATCAGCCACCAGAACTCCTTCAATGGTCAAATCAGGGGATGTGATGCCCATAAGATGATAGCTATCAGTCCCTCAGCTCTTGATCCTCTCTGAACTGGCCTCAGAATTTCTTGTTACAACATTATTATGTGGCTTGTGTTTATCTACTGACTTTATTGGGTAATTATTTTTATGCCTGCTATCAAAAGGCTCTTAAGGCAGTAGAGGTCTCCTAAAAGGGTGCCGTTGTTAAAAATGAAAATAATGATCAAAAAAACTATGAGAATAAAACTCATTAAGAGTAAGTAAAAGAAATGCTGAGGAACTAACTAAGCACATCTATATGATAGGAAACAAGCAGGAAAGAGTAAAATTAGCAGAAAAATATATCAAAGTCTCGGCCTGTCCTGTACCCCCAAATTAGCATCAGTGACAAGGAAGAAATCATGAACCAGCATAAAGCTGGGTTTCCTTGGTTTCTCATTTTCACTATACTCATAGACATCCAGTGTCAGTATGTAGTTAGCAAGGTTGCTTGAACACAAATGAGAACAGGCTTTCATGAGAACAGAGAACTGAGAGGTCAGACCAGAATTGCTCCATTTCAAAGGCAGGAGAAATCTGCTCTGACCAGGCTTCTCATCTTCCATTTGCTGTCATCTACACCTGTAGGTTACAACTCCAAAATACTGTGCTTACAAGAAGTAGAAACATTTTTCCTATTCTATTTGACAATGTTCAGACAAGAGAATATAGTGTTTATTATTTTTAATCACAGTATTTTAAGGGTGGAAAAAAAGTCTAATTTCTTAGACATCTAAGATGTCATTAAAAATAGTATTTAAAAGGAAATGAGAAAGGAATCAGTGATTTTAGTGTGAATGTCAGCAAATTCAGAGATAGCAAAATAGTTATTGTCCTATATAGGGGAGAGTATAGGAAGCTGACTACTGTTAACTGGAAATAAAATCTCAATGATAGTCAGATAAAGAGTGTATTAGATAATCAAAGTGAGGATTCTAACCCAGGTAGCAGTCCAGCAGATATTAATCTGCCAGAACTGTTCCAATAAACACAAATTTGAATTTAGTTTAGGAACAGTGAGCCAATGACATTAAGAATATAACACAGAAGGAGCTTCTAGTTCTTAGTTGTCCTGACCTGAGGATATGCTGATCCTAGAGAAAGACAATGTAGAACCTAATCTCCCTTTCTACTTTCTAAAGCATGTGATACAAAGATGCAAAGCCAGGGCACCCACTGTTAAAATCTTCCAGCTTCTTGGACATCAATGGCTTGACCTTCAGGCAGCAAACTCCTGCATAGACTACAGAATGGAGCCTGATTCTGACATTAAGTCTATGAAAATGGCTTTGCTTTCTTGCCTACTAGATCTGGGGGCCAAGGGAGTAGTTCCAGAAAACTTTAGAATATGTTCATACTGAAAAGAAAAAGTTAGGAAAGTCCTATCTTTCAGAAAAGGCCACTTTTTCTCATTCCCTGGCACTGCTGGAGGCGGAATGTTTGAGTGGTCCTGAGGCATTCCCTGAGTTTATGGGATGTCCCTGCCCTAAGGAATCACCTGGCAGGATGTAATCAGCACCAGTGCTTCTCGAGCATTGTGTGCATAGGCGCACAAGAGAACTTCTAAAGTTTCTGATTCAATAGGCCTGGGGTGGAACCTAAGAATCTTCATCCTAAAAGTTCCTGTAATGTTGATGCCTGTCCCAGCCACACTCACATCCACACCACTAAGGTGTGGCTGAAAGAACACACAGACCAGATACAGGTTCTAAATCTAGCATTCAGTACATGCCAGGTAACGCTGACCTGAGTTTCTTCTTCAGTAAAAGAGAGACAAAATTGATGTTGGGAGGAATGTGAGAATATAGCGATCTGTGATGCTGTGGCCTAGTGTCTGGCTTAGACTCAGACATAGCTGCACTAGAATGTTAATACACCACTTGCTAGCTGTGTGATCTGAAGTGAATTTCCAAGAGCCTCAGATCCCTCTTATGTTAAGTAGAGGGGTAATAATACCAACTTTGTAAGGCATTTAGAACAGCTCCTGATACCATAAAAACCTAATAAATGTTAGTAAGTACTATTTTGGTGGCAATAATTAATAGCATGGTATTTGGCACAGATTGACACACCATAAATGCTAGACTTCCCTGTCCTCAATTTTATCATTTTCTAGCATTAACTGGAAGGTGAAAAGAAACATAATGTTAGTTATACTAACCCTGCAATAATTAGGAGGAAAGCATAAAAATTGGAATGAAGTAAAATAAAATTGTGTTATAACATGAAGTACCTTTAGATATATGGTTGGTGCAAAAATATTAAAATATTTTTCTCTCTGCCTTATAGAGATTTGGAAGGCAATAGAATAAAACATCTCATGAATTCTACCTTCCTCTCGTGTGAATCTCTCACAGTGCTGTAAGTATACAGTGAACAAACACAGATGAGGGGCAACTCAGTAGTATTGGAAATCAATAGAAAACTTTGACAAGGAACTTGAAAGTAGTATTTTGTTTACAGTGTTTGTCCTCTGCAGTGCTAGAAAATGCACCCATGATTTTGATAGTGGGGTCTAGCCTTATGCTTAGCTGCCCATCATTTAGGTTTCCAGGTGTTCTCATTATTTCTTTGTATCCTCTCAGGTAAACTGGCACCTAATCCCAGGATCACCAAAGAAATGAGATAATGTGTGTGAAAGTGGTTAGTCACGCCACTATTGTTAATGCCCCTAACACATATTACTTGATGCCTCTCTTTTTCTCTCTAAAGAAAAAAATAATAATTGCATGATAAAGAGAAGGACAGCTAATGTATTCTGACTGGCCAAAGGTTTCTGATTGATAAATCTGGTTGTTTATGTATTTTGTGACAGCAGGAAGGCAAATGGATTGGTTAAGTGGCACATTTCCACTGGCAAGCTCAAAAACACAAAATTGCTTTTGTTTTAATCATAGTTTTCCATATCTAATATTTGCTGTTTGGATTGGTGGTTGGAAATGAAAAATCAAAGTATATCCATGTATAATAATCTAACCACTTTTCTCCAACAAAAAGATAAGACTTTTTTGCATATTTGTCACTGAATGCAGAATAGGAGTATTTAGTAAGAACAAAGGCTGTCTCATTTAGGAGATGCAAAGGGTTTATTCTTTTTCTTATAGATAATAAGAGAGGACACTGGAAAACTATTTAAAAAAGTTCCATGAGCTTCTATTTTACAGCTCCATCTAGCTTTTGAATCATTTTCACATTCATTATCTCATTTGTTAATACCTCAGTAAGGCTGTTAGTGGCTGATTCCTCTTTTGCCCTGTGTCTCAAAGGATTCCATTTCTAAATGAAAGAAAAGTAAGATTACTATCCTTCCACCAAATCTAAAATGTGTTTGTGTCCCCAGGAACTGCTATGGAGTTGGTTCAAGCTTTGCTCTTGCTGACCATCTTCTCCTAAGAAACGTGCCTTACACAAGGATCCTCTCAAAGCCTTCTCTGGGAATTATTAACAGGGTCAAAATTTGACATTACATGTGTGTTTTGGGAGAGAAACACTTTTTGAAATAATTAGATTCCAAACAAAGGGCAGCTTTGTAAACCACACTCAATACTTCAAATTACTCATGGCAGCACTTCCTGGAGAGAATGTGGATATCCTTGGTGAGAAGCTAATGCCTTGTGTTCCACACCGGAAGGTGCCTCGCTTTGAGACTTCAGTAGAGGCTTATTAAATGACACCCAGATCAATGGCATCTCCCAATGAAAACTGGTTATTACAGCAGACACAAACCAACAGTGCTGACTCTCACCATGTCTTACAGGTTTCTGCCTAGAAATCAAATTGATTTTGTTCCAGAGAAGACATTTTCTTCATTAAAAAATTTAGGAGAACTGTAAGTAGCTTTGTCTACTAGGAAAATAGGATTGCTTCTTCCAGGATTATAAATTTAACTGACTAGTGAGATTGCTTTTTCACTAGTAACAATCAAAATCCTGTAGACGGCTGAATATTCAAAATCAAATAAGAAAACCAACGTTTTCCTAAAATCAAGAGCAAATTAAAATCAGACAGTGGACTTAATATGGATTTAGCTCACTCTAATTTCCTGCCGATTTTCTCCCAGTGATTTCATATATATATATATATATATATATATATATATATATATATATATATATATATATATATGTGTGTGTGTGTGTGTGTTTGGGAGTAAAAGAGTGTTCCATAACTCCTAAAACTCAGGGCTGATTATTCCTGGTGATTTGAGTACTGCTAATTTTCAATAAATTGCTGTTGAATGAGTAACTGACTGAAATAATATTAATTAATTGCAACTGAACAAAGGCATGAAGATGCTTATTATCCCTTAAGAAATTATGATTTCTAGAGTAGATGGAGAAGTTACAAAAGTCTAGAATTAGGATTAGGCTCATTGAAAAATATTCAAAGATGTCATGTTATTTTCTTCTGTTCAAATATATATCTTGTAGAATGAATCTTTTAAAAAACATCTGTCTTGCCGTTAATTGACCGCTTCCCACAAAATTATGCATCATTGGATGTTCAAATTAAGTCTGTTACATTATAAGTACTAGCAATTAGGACAGAGCACTCCCCCTCCTGATCTGAGGTCTGAAAATAGAAATTATTACCTTAATTAACCTCTATCCCATCCTTTATACCTTGTTTTAAAATCCAGAAGAACTGGGACATGTAAGTCATTTGAAAAATAATTTATAACTCATTAAGATATTTCAGTGTAATTAGTGAGTGTCATGAACCAAATCAGCATTTACTAAATGCCTTGCAGGTGCATTAAAACTAAAAATATTATCATTTTATGACAAAAATTAAGGGTAACTCACGCAGAAGAGTTCCCTCATTTCTCACAGGGGCGTTCCTGATCAGACCTTGGAGGATGGGTGTGGATTTGGGTCAGAGGGATAGAGTGCAGTAGCGTCACAGAACAAATGGGCATGTTTTCTGTAGAAAGCTAAGGAAAGAGTGGTATGACATCCATATATCAAAAAATTATCCTTTTATCCTAGACTTAGGCAGAACCAGACACATCTCCCAAAAAAGAGCCAATTCAGAGATGCTTATTATCCCTTAAGAAATTAGGATTTCTAGAGTAGATGGAGAAACTACAAAGGTCTAGAATGAGGATTAGGCTCATTGAAAAATATTCAAAGATTTTGGTTTTTTAAAAGGCCATCTATAGCCCATTCCAATCTATTTAATATCAGTAAGCTAAAAGAAATTCAGAAGTTAATGGAATAAGACATTTATGTTTTCTGAATTTGTAAAAATGTTAACTAAGTTTGATGTGCCTTCATTATGACAAACCCTTCCTGGAAAGAAATGAGCACACATAGATGAGGCTTGGAAAGTCCTTCCCCCTTAAAGACTGTACTTTATTTTTCAAGGGAACTCTCTGCAGGCCATTTCTAGGTTTTCAAGGTCACCATCATCTTGTTCTCTCTGACCTGTGCACACCCATGGCTTTCTCCCGGCCTGTTACTCAGATCCTGCCTCTCACCTGGGACACTACATTAAAATTTCCAGTTGGCAGGACCTCTACACTTGGATGTCATGACAGCATCTCAAAAACAGTTTGTCAAAACTAAATTTATAGATGGTCCTTACCTCACAGTCAGCTTCTCCCCTGGACTTACCATTTTAATGGTATATGCATCCTTCCTGCCAGATGACTCCAGGAAAATCTGCTCCCTTTTCCTTTATTCTCTTTCTACTTTAAGAGCTATCAGACTATAATCCCTGCGAGTGCTCCCCCACCACCCTGCACCCTTTAATCCTCATCAACTCCCACCTGGTCCAGGGTCAGAGTCCCCCAACTCTCTGGCTTTCAAGCTTCTGACAGAATTTTCACCCCGTAACCTATAGCCTATTATACCACTGTCCTGCTTACTGTTCTCCTTCCTTGTTGCCTGTTATTTATTGAATTTCTTGACACAGTTCTCAAATGTCAGTGTGCAGAAGAATCACAGGGGATATTGACTGTACATGCATGTCAACCTGGCTCCCTTGCAGAATTTCTAGTGTGATAGTTCTGGAGTGGGCACCAGAAATGTGCTTTCTAATATGCATCTTCCTTGATTCCAATGACTGGGCAATATTCTGGGAAATACTGCCTTGGAAGGTGTTTCTGATCCTTCTATCCTGTCTCCATCTCTCCCCAGGCTCACCTCCCCTACCTCTCCTCATCCTTTCTCTTCTCCTTTCATGGTGGACCACTTGCTGACTCTTGAAGATGTCATTGAATTTCATGCATCTGTTTCGCTGATCCTGCCTGTCCCCTCACCTAAAACACTGCTCTTCTTGAACTCTACCTATAAAAATCATCAAACTTTGTCCAAACATTACCTAAATTTCCAGGCCATGTTCAAGGACTCCATCTCCTGATTTTTATCTGTAATTATGAAATAGAACTTGTTGTATTCTTTCCTTGTTTTGTAATCTAGTTGTTTACTCTGACACTAAGCTCCTTGAGAGAGAGAGCTAAGTCTTAGTTACTTCCAACTCCCACATATCCAAAAGCAGTTTCAAAGTACCAAAAAAAAAAACCCCAAGAGTTTTATTTGACTCTTAGGTGATTTCACATCTGTTTCACTTTTAACAATATTAGTTCAGGATATTTGGACACTTAGAGATTCCTTATTCCTTCTGATCCTAAGAAATCTCTTTTCCACATTCTGTAGACATTCTTCTTTTTGAGTCCTTATGTGTTGGATAGTCCAAATGTGTGAAATTTAACATTCAATATTATTGGAGCATAAATTGTATGGCCAATACTATCTTGTTAGAATGTAAAGCTTCCTCAGAAAGCTTCATATTTTGTTGGGCAAACAAGTTATCACCTACATGGACCAAGTAGGAATCACAGAAACTTATGACTGGTAGAAGTGTACAAGGAGTACCAAAAAATTAATCAAAGTAGATATTGAAGCCAGGTCGGACATGTGTTGGAAAGGATGTGAGAGGAAATTCCAGACAGGAACTGGACGAACAAATTGTCACATGTCTGAAAGTGATAGAAAACATATCCATTTGGCTGACTCACGTGGCCTGGTTGTGTAACAAGTTATCAGGTTGGTTAAATTGGATCATATTTTCTATTACATCAAATGGAATGAATAATCGTGAGCCATATTAACTATGTCATTTATTTCTAATGCAATTGCTTTGGGTTTTAACTGTCACCAACAGGGATCTATCTAGCAATATGATAATGGAGCTACCACCCCACATTTTTAAAGACTTGAAGCTTCTACAAAAACTGTAAGTTATTTTTGTCATCATCAGATTGAAATGGCAACCACTTGAGCTTCCAAAATAATAATGTCCTGATGCTTCTCCCCTTCTTCCTTCTAATGGTACAAAAGGAGTCTGTCGTCCAATCCTCTTTTGTATCTTCACAAGAACCAGTTTGAAAGTCTTAAGCAACTTCAGTCTCTGTAAGTGAAATAAAATAGTATGTTTATTATCATTTTAGTAGATGTACTTTACCTAGAAATATATTTATGTTTAAATGATATTTGATACACAGAAGGGTTGTTCACTTGAGTATCCTCAGATGGTTGCAAAATTTGGTTGCCATCAGATGTTTGTTGAAAGACAAAGTCTCATTTTGCAACAAAGTCACATACCATCCAATAGGCTTAAAGATCATTTCTGTATTTGAAGCTATATGTCACTCCTTCAGGAAACTGGGTTCATGTGGAAAACTCTTATCCTACAATTATCACAGAGAATTAAATTTTCAATACTTTTGTTACTAAACAGTTGCTAAAACACAAATGAGGTCAGATTTGCCTGCTTTTTTCCTTCCCCTTTCACTCAACAATCTATTTTATACCTGCCTATAGTACATAATTTTTTACTTTTTCATCAGTAAAGAAAATATTATCCCACAAATGTGAATATTCAGATAAAGTTACTTCATATTTTAAAATATAAAATGCACTGTTTCAAATAATGTGAAGAACTCTGCCAGTTACCCTTTGAATGTCATCACTCCTTTCCCATGAATAGCCACTGGTAGTTAAAATTTATTTTCTTACTTTTACAGAGTATGCTATATTACTTGATCTCAGCCTAAAGTTTTTCTTCATTTAATTCCAGTGACCAATGTTTAATATCCCCTTTTATTCTTGTTAAATATTTTTCTATTAGAGTTTAATGCAAGATATATGATCTCTCTGAATAGATATTAATGAGCATTCCACTAATTAAAAAGACTTGATTCCTGCTCTCAATAAACTAGAATATAAAACACTCAAATTGAATACTTTGTTTTGATATAAGATTAGATCTCAGGATGTGGACAAAATGGATCTTCACTTACCATATACTGGTCTGAAAGTCAAAATATCAAGTTACTACATCATGAAAAGTCAAAGTAATAACTATTTACTTCATTCTTTCTTCATCTCTCTCTCTCTCTTTTTTTTTTTTTTTTGGTCTCATTTATTTTTTGCTACAGATTTATCTACACGCCCCCTTCCTATTCATTGAGCACCACCTATTCATAGCACTGTCTTAGACATCCAGGATAGAGTAGCTGCTGCTCTTTTGGACACCATAAGCTATCAGTAAAATAATTACACAAACCATGTAAAGCTAAAATTTTAGGTCCAGCAGAAAGCTGGAAAGCAGAAGAAGGGAAAATTCTTTCAAAAAGATTCAAAACTCTTCTGCCGGGGGGACCTTGTGATGATTCAACAGTATAATTTTCTTCTACCTTTCAATTCTGACTGAAAGAGCAGGGTGATTCTTCACTGAAGTACTCAATGGGCCAAAGAAAACTTAGAACCACAACTTGAACTCCTTATTCAGATTAGTCAAAATGAAACTGAGAATCAAACATCTTTCAAAGTAAAAGGAAAAAGCTTCTGGTTTTTTTTTTTATTTTTCTCTCTCCACTTGTGTTTTCTGAAAACATGGCAGACTCCCATAATTCATGCTATCATTCAAGAGATCTTCAAGGAATCTATATTTGAAGAGATGTCTAGATAATGAGGAGTCTAGGGTTATCATTGGAGTCTTCTGAAGACATTTTATGGGGCCTGAAGGAATGAATGGAAGTATATTTCCCATTGTTGTCTTATAAAACAATTGTCTTGAATTGGAGCTCTTCCTTCTGCCTCTGTGGATTTCCACCCCAAAGACATATAGACGAGGGAGAAATGACTGGATTTAAATTCAGATTCTCCAACAAACCCATTTCAGTGATACTCTCAGGTTGGAAATGTTAGCTCCTGTCTGAAACCCTCTAACTCATGTGATGTGGTTCAAAAAATCAGGCTACAAAACCAATTTCATAATCACACAAATCAACACTGCCATTTTTAAATCAAAGAAATGAATGACAGTGTTCTTTAGAATGTATTTCTGCTTATGAAGTGACCAAATCAGCCCAAACTTATAGGAGACAAAAATAGAAATGGTAATTTTCTAAGATAGTTTACTGTAAAATATTCATCCTAATTTGAATTGGTTGCATACAAATCAGAAGAATGATATTTAGGATGTGACAAAGAATGCAGTCATTTAAATGTTAAACCCTTAAAGCATTAAGCCTATTGTTCATGTTTTTCAGAGACCTGGAAAGGATAGAGATTCCAAATATAAACACACAGATGTTTCAGCATATGAAGAATCTATCTCACATGTATGTATGTATAAAAGAGTGGAGAGCAAAAGTGAAATGTTTCAGATAATCTCATGTAAACTGTCTAATGTATCACTGCAATGTGTTTTTATGCAAGAAAAGTCTTTTTATTGAGAACTTTTTAATTTTGTCACCTTTGGTCCCTGTTCAAATAGAGTTCAATATTATGATGTGCCGACATGAATGACACTTCTCTCTGGAAACACGCTGTTTATCCAATTGAGGCCCAATAAGAGATCAGGGTACCAGAATGCCACATATTACACAAGATGAAGTCACTGGCTAAATGGTACTCAGGCGACCTGGAAACATTAATTCACCTCACATGAATGAGCAGTCGGCTGCTCTAAGATTTGAGCCCTTAGGAAGAAAGGTGCTATATAAATTCCAGGTGTTGTTACTGTTACTAAGTGCACTACAAAATGGAGGTAATTAATCTTTATAGTAGTTTTGATAAGTCACTATAATATATTTGGCTAAAGTGCACTGTGTAAGTTGTGTTAATATATTGTGTTTTTGACAATCATTTCTTTATCAACTGTATAATCTATGTGTTCATTTTTTTCAAAAATTAACCCTTGTTATCCACAACAATAGGGAGGATTCGATGTAAGATTACAAGTTGGGTGCAGCAAGTGGATGAAATGGTTGGTGTGAAGGTGCTCTTTTGGGATAACATTTTATTACGTCTGTGCAGTAGGGGTAGCTAAAAGATAAGCATTTGATGCATATCCAGATGGTTTTGTAATTTGTCTTTCTGTGGCACCAAAGGTAAATATTTAATGAGGCTATCAATTCCTTGTTGCAAGCAGAAATGTGAGGTTTTCTTAGAGTAGAGGAATTCAACCATTTTAGAACTTGACGGAAAATCTGCCATTTTAAATGTGAATGTCAGGTTGAGGTCCAGAAGGACCCAACAATTAACAGAAAGTTGGTTTGATTAGTTACTTCATGCTAAGTGAAATTTTTCATCCCCTTTGCCCGCCACTTATTGAAACACCTCCACCCCAGAGTCACCATTCCTTCCATCTGCCAACCAGAGCCATGGGCACAGCAGGAGGAGAGGTTGAATCTCTGAGGGATCCTAGCTGGCTCTATCTGAAGACAGTGGACATGGTGGAATCCTGAAAGAACAAAGAGATCAGGTCAAGTGTGTGCCAGGGACTCCAGGAAAGGAGAAGAAAACAAGGGAATTACACGTCAAGACCCTTTAATTATTTAGATGATATCAGGAAGTTAGACTATAAATTACTCCAGGTCAGGGATTGCCTCCTATTTCTCCACCTGCTTATCCAGCATTAAATGATCCATCATTCATTTGCTTATCTAAGAAGGACTTGTTGACTTCCATGTGTCAGGGGAATTATTTGAGATCTGAAAACCCAGGGATGAACAGGAGAGAGAATACTTCGTGGAGCTTCAGAGCATAGACAACTAAATAGTTAATAAGTGCTGTGAAAAAAAAAAGTAAAGTTAAAGGGACAGAGGGAGGATGTAGATGGCAACATACAAGTCCAAGAGATGTGACATGCCAGCATGCTTGCGTGGAGGGTGGGGTATTCCTGGCACTGTCAAGGGAAGAATCTTCCAGGCCGCGAGAACAGCAAGAACACTATACCAAGAAGGAGATGAGCCTGGCTCAGAGGTGGAGGATTCAAGAGAAAGGTCACTGTGTCAGAGTGAATGATTAAGAGGCGGTGAGGTAGATTCTGCAGCCAGTATTCTGATCATGGGAGACTTTGAAGCCATGGCAAAATAAACTTGCTGGTCTAGAATTAAAAAGGGAGATGACCCGAAAAAGTTTAGATGCAGAGATATGAACTGAAAGAAAAATACAGAAGTATAAAATTAGTATGAGTTTTATGGGAGAAAATCCTAAGCACACAGATTTGGGGAATGGTGATAAGTCAAGTGGCCATCCCAATTCAAACACTGCAAGATTCCACAAGCTTAAGTCATAAATGCATTGATCACAAACAAGCTTATATTTTCCTCTAGAAATTGCTTGAGCCCTTCCCAACCCCTGTAAGACATCTGTGTTTAAGGCAACTGCTGCTTCTCCTAGCTCCAGTGAGATGACTTTTCCTAGTCTCAGTAACTCTCCTTTCCTGCCAGTGTCACGGAAAATGAGACTAGTCGAAGTGAGTATATTTAAAACTAAGTAGATGACAGGATTGTTTTTAGTGAACTGTTGTTGGTCCCTTACATCCCAAACTCAAACCCCTGAATGCTTGCTAGCGATCAAATTAACACTGACAAACAATTTATTATATTACTCTGGAGAACAAGCCAATGTGATGGGGAAAAAAATAGTCCTGGACACCACATTTCTCATGTCTTCTCTCCCTTACTTCACACAAGCCATGGAATTTCTATGTCCTTTAGGTTCTTCATCTTACTATCCAGAGTAACATAACAATTAATAAAGAACTCTATACTTATGTAATCACTACTAGACAAGAAATAAATAGATCTAGTGAAGTTGCATACCTAACAGAGCTGCAGCCCTAATAGGATGACAACTGTAGTTCCGCTGTCATTGCTGTAAAGTGACTCTTTTTTTCCCTTTGACTTTAGTTATTTCAAAAACTTTCGATACTGCTCCTATGCTCCCCATGTCCGAATATGTATGCCCTTGACTGACGGCATTTCTTCATTTGAGGACCTCTTGGCTAACGATATCCTCAGAATATTTGTCTGGGTTATAGCTTTCATAACCTGCTTTGGAAATCTTTTTGTCATTGGCATGAGATCTTTCATTAAAGCTGAAAATACGACTCACGCTATGTCCATCAAAATCCTTTGTTGTAAGTATGTTCACAATCTAAATAGATTTAAGATATCGTCTGTGAGTTGTGCACTAGATGTATATTGGCCTTCCGCAAATGACATTTAGTGTCAATTACATGTACTGGGAATTTTTTCCTAAGTGTGAAGGTTCTGTTTTACTTGGCTGCTCTGTTGTAGATTGCATGGCTTTACAGTGCTTTAGTGGTGCACATCCCTGGAAGTTATGTCTTGAAAATGGGGTAATGGTGAGCACATGAATAAGGGATGGACTCCGGAGGACAGGTTTTGGATTATAACACCAAATTTGTTTACCTTCAATTACAATAATTCCCTTGCTCCTAAAGCCCAGGAAATTGTCCTCTATTAACTATGCAAGTAATTCATGTTTACTATTTTAAAGACTAGCTCCCCACAACTACCTCACCATCCCCATTTTTGTAACTATAAAACAAGGAGGCATCTGGAACTTTAGAAAGAGCATACCTTTTGAAACCCATTGGCTTCTAGGTACTATTGCTGGTGTCTGCATTAGTTCCTTTAATACAGATTGAAGGAAGTTGCCCTAATCAGAAAACTAAGATGCTGGAACTAAAACTAAACAAAGTTGAAACAGAGATGTTGAGAACTCCAACACTGTGTTGATTCCTCAACAGGTGCAGACTGCCTGATGGGTGTGTACTTGTTCTTCATTGGTTTTTTTGATATAAAATACCGCGGGCAGTATCAGAAGTACGCGCTGCTGTGGATGGAGAGCTTACAATGCCGCCTCATAGGGTTCCTGGCCATGCTGTCCACCGAAGTCTCTGTCCTGTTGCTGACCTATCTGACTCTGGAGAAATTCCTCGTCATTGTCTTTCCCTTCAGTAACATTCGTCCTGGAAAATGGCAGACCTCAGTCGTCCTCATTTGCATTTGGATAGTGGGGTTTTTAATAGCTGTAATTCCACTTTGGAATGAGGATTATTTTGGAAACTTTTATGGAAAAAATGGAGTCTGTTTCCCACTTTATGATGACCAAACAGAAGATTTTGGAAGCAAAGGGTATTCTCTTGGAATTTTCTTAGGTAAATTATATTTTTCACTTCCTGTACATACATGATTTTGATGTATATACCATAAATTTCAGTAAAGGAGAACTTGTCTATTTCAAAAAGTAGGTGAATATAGTCAAGACTTTTTTAAAGAAAAGCTCTTGTTGTATATAGGTAAAAGTTTTCATTAAACTTTTTATTGTATAGAGTTAGTGTAGAAAACAGCAACATACTATCAGGACCTCTGGGGTTTCTTTTTGTTAGCTCTCAGACCCTTGGAGGGTCATGTTCACTCATGACTGAGCTAGAGGAATCCTATCCTATCCTGTAATTCCTCCAAGTTATTTGAAGGATACAATACAAATAAATAATTACAATAAAACTCTGGAACTTGCTAGCAGAGGATTATCAGAATGGAAATACCAGGAAGGTTTATTGTCTTTGATAAATACAACTATAACATCAGATACTTAAGAAAACTCTTTGCTTTTCACTTTCTTAATGCCCCCAAATTTTTTACAAAAAATAGATCCTACCTATGAAATCCTGTTGCTATAAAGAATGTGGATCCAAAAGAATGAGAAGTTTAATCCTTTAACAGTAAGAAAGTTTGTGTTGTCTAAAAGCTGTCTCTCCTGTTTAAATTAAAGCTGTTTCCTTGTCCTCTTCTTAGCTAGGACAGTATTATCCTCTCAACTCCCCTTATCCATCTTCTCCCCTCATCTAAACAGGCAACAAGCTTCACTATCCTTTCTTTTCCATCAGATAGTTTTGTTTAAATATGACTCTGTCTCCTCTTTTTTCCACTGCTATCACCTTTCACTAAAAATCTGCTATCTTAACCTTGAGTTACTACATTAGCTTTTACTGGCCTTGTGGCCTTTGGGGCCTTTCTCTCCTATTTATCTGTTCTCCATCACTATTATAATCTCCAAGCAACCAGAAGAATGTGTGTGCCCTTGGTCAGAGACCTTCAATGACTCCTCAGTACTGCCAAGGTCAAGTTTAGATTAGTCACTTGAAACCCATCACAAAATTACCCTAACTACTATTCCCAGCTTTTCTCCACTTTTTATTCTTCCTTTGGAAAAAAAACAAAACAAAACAACGTTTTTATTTGCACTTTTATCTTATTCCTCACTTAGTACCCTACTTTATAGTTGATTTTTCATGAATTTGTCACACCTCTGATTTTGTAAACTACTTCTAGCACAGGTACACTTCATGAAGACTGTCTCTCACACACATATGCTCACACACCCACACACATGCACACATACATATACACCTATATAGCTATTCCATTAATTGATTCAACATGAATTTATTAAACACCTACAATAGGCCATGCACCATTTTGGGTACTGGAGATACAACAGTCATTCCTCACAGATCTGCAGGTAGAGAGTCTGGAGATAAATAAACACATCTGAAGATAAATAAACACATCCTTACATCACAGACTGACAAATGCCGTGAAAGGAGGAGTACAGGATGTTCTAGAAGCCGCAGATGTGAGGACTAGGGGCAGCTTTCCAGCAGAGATGAATCCAAACTCAGGCATAAAAGATGAGGAGGCTTTAGCCAAGTGAAGGCAGATGTTATGTTCCAGGAAAAGACAGAGGATTTAGAGGCACAGAATTAGTAAATAATCCCAGCTGAAGGATGAAAGCAGCTGGGTATGATTGGATCTTAGTTAAGACATGGTGGTGGTGGTGGAGGGAGGGGCGTCCTCTTCAAGGGTTTTAACACCTGTGATATATTCCAGATAAAGAAATAGTGATGCACACACATCATCATCATCTGTGTATACTGACTGACTTGTAAGAGAAGGCAGCGTAGTGTTCTTTCTTCTCATTACAGAATATAATACAGTTTTTTAATTAATGTTTTTATTTTTCAGTAGTTTTTTTAGGAAAAAAGTTGTAAGGATCCTATATACCCTGACCCAGTTTCCTGTGTTAACACCTCACATTCAGAACACACACTTTTGATCCTTTCTATAAGTCTCTTTTTAGAATTTGTACCAGAGCAACATCTTCAACAGTCATCTTATTTTATTCTTAAATTCCTAACAAGAAGACTAAGATAAATTAATTTTATAAAACTCTAATGCATGTGTTTGTAATGAAGAGTTTATGGAAAATTAAATGTTTTGGATAAAAGCAACAAAATACCTTGAATTTGTATTATTTTCCCCAGATTTTATTAGTTTTACATACAGTCTAGGGTCAGATAAATTTTTTAAAAAACTTAAAATTATATGTAAAGTTTGTGTTTATGATGACAAATGAGATTATCAAACTTAGAATTTTCATCAAAGCATGAGCAAAATAATGATTAAGAAGTTGACTTTATAAGATAGTGATGTTAAGTGAAAATTCTGAACATATGTGACCAAAAAGAGTGATTCATAGACTTGAATTTTTTTTATTTTTTTCTTATTCTTCTTTTTTAAAGTGAATGCTGAACTATAGTAATTTAAATTACTGCAAGCAACATGAAGAAAAATAAATAATAATGTTTTTATTCTATGTAATGCTTTTAAGATAAAAAAAATAAGGATTAATGTTTCCAAAGCTATTATTTTCTTGCTGTCCCAAAGTTATCTTATTCATATTTGTAAAATAAAGGAATGGGGTCATATTTTTTTTTTTTGGAGATGCACACATTATAGTAATCCCTTAAATTTCGAATGTACAGAGAGCTAAAAAGAAAATAGCATTTTTCTTGCTTAAAAAAATAGCTAAAATTTACTTCATGATATGCATAGATCTGAATTTCAGGGATCTCTAATTCTTTATAAAGGGTTTATGTATTTTAAATTTATTTTTGATCTGGTCAACTGAATTCTTGTAATTTATTCCAACTTACAGCCTTGGACTTGGAGTTTTAGTTGGTTACTACTGGGCTTAGACAAAAGAATGTTCCTTAGAAGTATAGTGAAAAAACATCATAGTAGACAGCATACATAATGCTTTTTACTGTTGACTTTTACACCTGAGATGTTAAGAGGTGTACTTTTCCCAACAGGTGTGAACTTGCTGGCTTTTCTCATCATTGTGTTTGCCTATGTTACTATGTTCTGTTCCATTCAAAAAACTGCCTTGCAAACTTCGGAAGTGAGGAATCACATTGGAAGAGAAGTGGCTGTTGCAAATCGTTTCTTTTTTATAGTGTTCTCTGATGCCATCTGCTGGATTCCTGTATTTGTAATTAAAATTCTTTCCCTCTTCCGGGTGGAAATACCAGGTCAGTCTCTTCTATTATTCCCAAATACACTGTGCCTTCTTACCCTCTTTGTTTGGTGAGGCCAGACATACATACATACATATGTACATACATACATACATATGTACATACATACATACATACATACATACATATATTACAGGGTCTTACATACAGTAACTTCTTACAGTAACTTCTCCATTAATGCCTACAATGTCAATATAAAGAATTATTATTTCTCTGTCTTTTATGATCAGTATTCCAAAATCAAAATCTGATAATGGAACAATCCAGAGAAGAAAATACAGCAGCTAGAGAAACTACATCTTAGTGTTTTGCTTTACCTGAGTTAGATACTGTTTCTTAACCAAGAGTACACATAGAAAACCAAAGTATACATGCAGCACATGTATACATACATGCATATATACAGCTCTAACCCAGAGCATCTGGGTTTTAGTCCACACAAAGTAAAGTCTGTATCATCTAGGGATGTGTGTCTTGGAAAAGATCCCCCCATGGCTCTGACACACACAGCCCTGGTGGAGAACCTATCTGTTTCTCCGGCCCAGCCTAGTCATTGTCTCCTGGGTTGTGGAGGGCTAGGTGTTCTGTAGAAGCACTCCATCAGAAAGGCCAGGTTCCCCACTCACAACACAACTTTAACCAGAGAAAAATCACCTTTCTGATTAGGATTTTACTTAAAGACCTTTCTAGAACCTAGAAATCATAACTAGCTTGGGTTCCTCCCACAGCGTCAGCCTGATACTCGGTGAAACAGTTTGGGATTAACTCTTGGCTTCAGTCTATTCCAAATCTACTTGGGAAGTGCTCCCAAGGCACAAATATCTGACTCATCTGGTTCTCGAGTGTCAAGCATGGGGTTGACACCTGGGAAGCCATTATGAAGGAGTAATAAATGTACAGTTTGGAACAATGAACAGCTGGAACAATTTACTTCTCTCCGGCTGGTGCATGAGAGACCTTGTCAAATGCCTCACTGCAAAATGACACACCATATCCCCAGCATCTGCTTAACCTATCAGCTTGTCTCACTCTAAGGCACAGATGGCGCTCGAGCCATGTAAAATGTAGAAATGAAGATTGAGAAGGGAGACAAGGGTTGACGATTTGAAATGGAGCCTTTACTAGATGGCATGAACGGAAGCTATAAGAAAATGTTCAATCGCTGGGGGAAAGCCAGGTTTACATGACGAGCAGAGTTCGTGAAACAAGCGACCACAATGGGTTTGCAGATAAAAAGTCTCCAGTCTACCAGAGCTACCTGGATTATCCCCATTTTTACATCCTAACATTTCTAATTCAACAAGATTAAGATGTCTTTTGGTCACCATTGCTCATGGAATAAAGTTCAAGCTGGAACTAGCATGAAAACATTTCTTACTCTCACATATTCTGTGCTCCATGTTCTTTAAAATTACTGGGCTTTTAGTCTGCACTTTTTGATGTCTCGCCTTTGCTGAAACTATTCCCTCTCCTGGATTATATTTTTAAACTATAAGATTCTAGCCTATTAAACCCTCTTCTCATATTTCAAGAAAGCTAAATATTCCTTCTTCTATGGTACCATTCCAGACTTCTCCCCAAACTACTCACATCCAACTCAGCTGCTTAAATGCCTATTGCCTTCTGTGTGCAGATTGCGAATTTAACTTCATTTACATTGCCTCATAGCAGTGTTTTTTTTTTTTTTTAATGTGTTCATCACACCTTTCAGAGTACAAGCTGCAGGAGGGTAGGGCACATGATTTATTTGTCTGACCATATGATTTTCATATAGCATTATTTAATAATGCATTTCTAATTAAGGATACTGAACTGGTCCAAGAATGATGTTAGAGGTGGATTTGTCTTATCAACCTCCCCAACTTCTGTTTCACATCTTTTAATGTCCTTCCCAACCCCAGGCACTGGCTTTCTTGGATGGGAGGAAGCCTTGTTTGGTGCAAGAAGGGCCAGGTGAGACAGGCAGGATTTATGTATTTTAAATATATTTTTGATCTAGTCAATTGAATTCCTCTAACTTATTCCTGAACTAACTCTGCCACTGACCAGTTCAGGGGACTTAGCAAAATCTCCTCAGCTGAAATTCTGAGACCTCCAGACCATTCCAAGAGGGTCTTTCAAGTTCCTTTCACTTTTAGTATTCTGTGAGTCTACTAACTTCCTTGAGGTTTCTTCTCTCTGTATTAGTTGCTAGGGCTGCCGCAACAAAGTACCACGGACAGGGTGGCTTAAGCAACAGACATTTATTTTCTCATAGCTCTGGAGGCTGGAGTTCTGGGATCAAGATGTCAGCAGATTTGTTTTCCTTGGAGCCTCTCCTTGGCTGGCAGATGGCACCTGCTCACCATGCCCTCACATGGTCTTTCCTCTGTGTGCACACTCCCTGGGTGTCCACATGTGCTTTCTTATAAGGACATCTCTCAGATTGGAAAAAGGCCCACTCTAATGGCCTCATTTTAAATTAATCACATCTCCAAAGGCCCTATCTCCAAAAATAGTCATACTCTGAAGCACTTGAGGGGAGGAGAGGCATTCAAAAACTAAATTTGGGTGAACAGGGGAGGACACAGTCATTAGCACTCTCTGACTTGGAATCAGGATCTGTCTAGTGATCAAGGGTATGTGATAACAGGAGTAATCATCATCCTTGGAGTCTCTAAGGCATTTCAGACCATGCTTGGGAACTATAACAGGGAAAAGACCTTGTGAAAACATGATCAGGACACACAACAGTCTTTCTAACCCATCCTGTCCGCACCCTTCAAGAACTTTGTGGTCTGCTCCATCATGGTATGTCACTGATAGTACCTGGTGTCAGCCCCCAAAGCCAGCCGGCTTAGCCTACATGTCTGCTAACCTTAAGTACTGAGTCATCCTGAGACTGAAAGAGAAGCCACATTTCTAAGAACAATTTCCTTTGGGACACAACAGACAAAAACCAACTTATTTTGCTTTTCTTCAACTATGATCTATTTATATCATATATTTTTAAATGATTTTTTAAAATTCATTTTTAACTAAGTAATATTGAGGTACCCCATCAGGTATTACCACCATAGTGAGCCCACCACCCACTCACCCATTTTCCACCACTGTAGACCACTGTGCTTCCCTCCTCTTTGTTCTTACTCCTTACCCCTACCCTCCCTCCCTGCTTGGTGCTTCAGTTCTATAGTCAGCTTTCAAGGGTTAGATTTTCAGCTTGTCTTTACTGACCGTTAATTTAGTTAATTTATATTCCATATATTAGTGACAATTAAGGACAAGTAATATAGTAATATAAATCTAAGACATGCTAAGCATAGTTATTTTTCTTCCATATTCCTTCTAGCTAAAAAAAATTAAGGACAAAAAAAATGACGGTATGGGGAAAAAAGAAAGCAAACATGGAAACAGAAGGAAGGAGAGATAAAAAGGGGGGGGGGTAGGACAGATAAGTAGTAAGAGAAGAACTGGAAATGGAAAGAAGGAGTAAATGGGGCTAAGAAAAGAACAAGGAAGAGTGTCCAAGGGAGAAGAAAATGACAGGGTTGGGGAGTGAGGAAAATGTAAGGAAAGATCACCTGCGCTGGGACATCTTCAAGATTTTGAAGATGTGGAAGGAGGAATACAGTTAGGTGAGAATTGGTGGAAAATTGCAGGGATTCGTGCTAAAAAGGGCCTTCAACATTGCTGACTCTGGCACAAACTCTGATTTCTATCAAGTTACTTATCATTTTCCCCTTTCACAGATAGAGCAGTTGAGGCATAGGAAGCTTAGGTGATTGCCTTAGATAGCTTAAGAAGTATCTGATCTCAGAGCAGGCTACATTTAGGGGAAGAAAAACACTCATTGTAATCAGGGAAATGATGTACAGTGGCCCCTTTACCAATGTGAACACTTACCTCCTCCCTCCCCTTGCTGCCAAATATCTGCATGTAACATTTGACTTTCTCCAAACTACTCTAAAGCCTTACTGATAATGTATGATTAACATACACTGTATGTGATATATATTGTATGCTGTATTATTACCATAAAGTAAGTTAATGAAAAGGAAATGTTATTAAGAAAATCACAAAGAAAAAGAAAATACACTAACAGCACTGTGCTATATTTATTAATACTGTTAGTTCACATCATCTATTTACAAGAAAATCCACAAATCAGTGAGCCTGCTCAGTTCAAACCCCTGTAGTTCAAAGGTCACCTGTACTTGGAAGGGGCCTATCATCCAAAATTTCTTCTCATAAAGAATTTTCGAGGCATCTTTCCTATACTATTGTATTAGTATTTGTAAGACTTCATGTAAAAATAATTCTGTAAGTTTGGAGAATATATTCTTTGTTTTTCATATCTTCAGATTCCACAGACAGTAGGAATATGAGGTGGAACAATAGGCCCTCCAGATTTAAGTCAGGATCAAGGTTAGGTCTAACTCTAGAGCAGAAGTTTCCTGAACATTGTTCTATTGATGAGAATTATGTCCTTATTTTCCTATTTTTCTTTATAAAAAAAAAGGTAATCTACACAGTAAAAAATACATTATGGTCAGTTTATAATTCATGAAAGTATTTCCTTTCATTTGATTATACAAAACCTACAGAATCCTTACTGAAATTCAGAAAAATTTATGGCATCGCTTTTATGTTCTTCCCACAGAAAAACAACCCCTGATTCACTAAGATGAGCGAAAACACAAGTAAACTGGGTAGCCTTCTCCAAGAGAGCACTCACAACAAACTGTTATGTGCATTTTATTTGTATTTAAAACCTCACTCCTCTTTTTCACACTCCTTTTCCCTCTCCAGGTACCATCACTTCCTGGATAGTCATTTTTTTCCTTCCAGTAAACAGTGCCTTGAACCCAATCCTCTACACTCTCACAACCAGCTTTTTCAAAGACAAGCTGAAACAGTTGCTGCACAAGCATCGGAGGAAAGCTAATTTCAAAACTAAAAAGAAAAGTTTATCTACATCCATTGTGTGCACAGATGACTCCTCCTCACTTAAACTTGAGGTTTTGAACAAAATCACCCTTGGGGACAGTATAGTGAAGCCAATTTCCTAGTGATGGTTTTGAATCTGCACTTTCAATGGACTACCTAAAAAAAAAACAAAAAGTACAGCATTTGGAAAATGACATCACCATGCTTTTCATCTTCACCAGTAGCAAGCCTTTCTGCACGGAGAGCACAGCAGAGTGACTTCTGGCCCTGCGTTCCAGGGGCAGCTGCACTGCTATCCACTGTACTGAGAACTGTACCTAAGGGTTCCTGTCGCCCTCACATGGCTGAAATGCGCCAGTGAATGCATGTATAGTAGGTTGACATGCATTTGATCTCTAGCTAGTCAGCACTACCTACTACCAGCAAATATTCACATGTTAGTACCACATAAGTCTGCTTTTAAATTGAGATGTCCTCTCAGTAGAATAAAAACATTCACAACATCTAATTTTAGTGTAACAACAGAAGACTGACATCTCTTTCCTTGTGTTTTCAATGTCCAATAAAGCCATCAGCTTCCTCCTGAACTGATAGCAAAGGATTTCTGAGATGTTCATCCCCCTCAATTCCTGTCCTAAGAAGGCGGGTAGAGTACAAATGCTGGGAAAGTTCATATAAAGTTACCATGTGTAATATATGCTCAGACACACACAGTGATGATACCTCATACCAGTCACCTTGTTGACTTTTACTTAATGTCAGAAAAGCTTAGACCTCAGACAAGATATTTTTCTTGTGCCCAGGCCACAAAGGAAAAATTAGGCACTTCAAATACCAAAAAAATATATTTTACCATGTTTTTAAGTATAACTTATTTAACATATCTCTATGACTGGCAAGTTATGCATTCAGAGAACACACAGATAAGAGTGTTAAAGGAAATTTAAGAAGTGTGCTTGATTTGGGATCATTTGCTTGGTTGGATAAATTCCCATTGTTTTTAACAAAAAGGCCAGTTAAGTTTGGATTTGCATTTTGCAAATAAAAAGTGAAGGCCTGGACATGTTTTTATAACTAAAGTTCATATGTGAAAAACAATTCAGGTGAATAAAATTTTATTTTGCATTTGTCCATATATTATTTTAAGTTGAATAAAGACCATAGTAAGGTTTATTGACTGGTAGAGAATATGCTTTCCAGATCAAGTCAGGAAACAGGACTTCAGTTAACAAAACACATCTTAGATTTTTCTTTCTCTTCTCTTTTTTCCACAGTGTGAGGCAGTAATTTAATTTATTTGTTGTTCACATCATCCTGAGTTCCTGTAATGAAATGCAGGGTCAGACACTGACTGGCAATACCAGTTATCCCACTGCATAGTAAATGAACTATCAAGTTGAATTCAGAAAAGCAAGATTCTCAGACTTTATGTTTATCTCTCATTGCTTAATATTTACTAAAATCATTATGTGAGTTTCGCCATTTTGATCAAGTGGGAGATTTTTTACATCAATGAAATCTTTCCATTGGATTCTAGAAATGACATTCCTATTCACTAATGAGGCTGCCCTTTTCCATATGGTTTCAAACTTTTCTTCATCTTGTCTCTTCACTATGACTAGTCACTTCTTAACATGTTTTCTATATTTACCAACATTTTATTAAACTTTACTTGCCTTGATCATCATATGGTTTATTTCCTAATATACTTCCCAACATCAAGGACATAAAAAAGGAAAAGACCCTGAGCCTAGGGAACTTCAATCTTAGCACAAATGTGTGTCTTCTCTTCATGGAAAGCATGAAACATGGCCCATGAACCTAACATCTGGGAACTGTGTTTGTGAATTTCTGCACTCTAACCTTTGAGCAGTGGACATGAGAAGCACAAGGTCAAAGGCATCAGGGAAGTTGGCAACATATCTCACTGAAGAATTGAATTTTGATGGCTTGGTGATTTACAATCTTATTCTGTACTGTTATGTATATAGAAAACCATCAGAAATATATTTGATTTTAGCATTTTATATTTTTGTCTCTGAATTGAATAAGTGTTAAGTGGTAGGTCAGATTTGTTTCATAAATGCAGTATTTCTGTGTGGTTATGAAAACACCAGCTCTGTTCATCAATGACTTTCCAAAATAATATAAACATCAATTAAATATCACTACAGAATTTAAGAGGTCATACAGTGTGCTGTCTCTGAGTGGGAGAGGGTGATGACAAATTACTTGATCCAAATCCCCACCAAAGATCTACACATGACCAACATCTTGTCTTGAAAAGAAAAAGATATTCTGAAAAGTCCATATGAGTCTTTAGAGAAATGTACAGAAAAAGGGTACGTGATTTATCTGAGTTAGACATAGGTAAGCTTGTTAATATCACTTTGTTTCACTTTTAAGGTTTATTTCTAATAAAAATTAAGTTTCTGTTCATTGTAGTTCCTGAAATAGATTCTTGATAATCAGGGATTTTATTTTATTTTATTTTATATAATTCTTACATCATTTTTCATTTTTGCACAATGTATGCATTTTCATTTTGGTATAATCAGGGATTTTAAATGAAATTACAAATATCTGAACTTTTGTACATAGGTAGCAGCAGTATTATCTTCTTCCAACCCTACTTGTAACCCAATTTTGCAGTTCCATGTCCTATTCTTTTTAAAATCACCGATCCACGAAAACAGACACATACCCTATTAGTTGTCTCTTTATGATCACTCTGAGGCCAGATTAAGTCAGTATTTGACAGTTTGTTACATTTCTACTTGTGCTATAATTTCCATAATTTATCACACCCAAAATGATTCTTCACTCAACTTTGTCATCCTGAAGTTTGTAAGCAACTCAGAGAGGCAGAAAATAGACATGATAGAATCGAGAAATGGCAAAATTCCACCAATCATAGTCACCCCATCATTTTTTGAATGCCCAAGAGTGTCAGAAGGAAATATATCTTGTAAAATCAGCAAGGAATTTGTGTAAGACATACTTTTTTTTAGCTTGTATTGTAATATAAATACTGCATATAGTCTTTTTTTTTTAAAGAGGCATGTATTATTTGTTTGTTTGTTTGTTTGTTTATACATACATGCACTGGGTACAGTCAGAAGCGCCGGGAAGGTGAGAGAATTCACCAGAGCCAGAGCGGGGAGCAGAGCAGGCAGAAGGACCGAAGTACACTGCTGAGGGGAGCAGCGGGTGGCAGGAGAGGTCTGCGCGCCATGTGGGACCCTCCTCCGGTGGCTGGGGAGCAGCCGGGGATCAAACCGGTGCCACAGATGCCGCGGGCAGCTTTGCAACCCAGCGCTCAACCGCTGCGCCACCGGGGAGGTCCAATACTGCATATAGTCTTATACAATATTTACTCAAGAAACAAAGTGTTAAATGTAAGTATTTCTGTTTTCTTATTCTCTTGCACTGGTGAATAAGAGAGGAAGAGTGATTACAAAGATCTATCTTAATATTTATCTGATTATATATTTATCTGCTTACATGTCAGATGTCTGACATCCTGTTTAGGAAAGATGGAAGATACATAATAACAATCTTGTTTACTTCTGAACCAGGAAAATGAAATTAAAATAATCTATTTCCCTTTTAAATGTCTTTTCTCAGGAGGATATCTCAAAGTCCTTGAAGAAAATTTCTCAAAGCTTAGAAGCTGATTGAAACTTATTACTCAAAAAATTTCATTAAAATAGTCTCCAAGATATTTTCCATATGACACACATGGGAGAAATAAATTACAATTAGAGAATAACAAGGCCAAATGACAAAATTGTAGATCCAGGAATGAGGATCTTTTGCCATCTGATCATCCTGGGCCAGCCTCAGGTGGCACCCCTTCCTCCAGGACCTAAGCAAATTCATAATTATTTTGAGTTACAAAGTTTTAACTAGTTCAAATACAAGAAAAATTTATTTTTGGATTATCTGGAGACTAACAAAACTTACACTTGTTTAGTGATGCTAGGGTGATCAGTGACTGACTCAGTGGTGACTTTGTTTATTTTTTGTTTTTGTTTTTGTTTTTTTTTCTGTTTTTCTTCAGTGGTGACTTTGTAACAGAAGTCCTTGTGGTGATGTATTTACTTGAGGACTCAAATTTCCTTGTGTTGTGGGTTGGGTGTTTTTTTTTTATCATTTGTTCATTTTGTTTTGATTTTGTCTGCTCACTTCGCTGTATTGGATTTTCTCCACAGGAGCGCTGTACTCTCCAGTATCAGCAAATTGGAAACTCCAGAAGAAGCCCAAGAGAGCACATTGGGGGAGGAGGATTCCAGTCCAGACTTCCCACACTGGCCACTGCAACCAGGATGCCCTATGTTTGTATGCTCTGTTTATTTTTAGGTTCTGACTGCACGCTCTGGACCAGGTCCAGATGTCCTGCAAGGGGCAGGAGTTGGTAGGTCTTCCATCTTTCCAAAGTTGATGGTGTAGAAGTCCCCTGCTTAAAAGACTAATCACCCCCATGATATGCATGGGGGTGATATGCTCTCCCTCTCTATGCAGGAAAGTTGCATCATAAATTTTGCCAGTTCCAGGCCACCCATTTGATTGCCTCCTCAAGGTGGACATAGAAAAAGCCACTGGGCAGGCAGTGGCCTCTTGCAGTGTCTTTCTAGGTGTAGGCCTGAGGATATACCATGGACAAAGGGGAGGCTATGCTCCACAGAGAATTATGCACTCTCTTTGCCAGGCCATGGACAAAGGAGAGGAAGGGAAATGGTGAAGGAAGCGCCAGTATCCCTTCCAGTGAACTGGCTCCATTTCTGACTTAATAATTTCTCAATTTTTCCTGCACTTGCCCATGGTCCTAGCTCTCCTCTTTGCTGAGACATGGTACTAACTTCCCCGGCTCCATTCCAGACATGACTGTTCCCTCTGGACTCTGACCCACAGTTTACTTGAAGGAAATGGTGGCTCAGGTAACCTGTCTGTCCACCATCTTCCAGATATCGACAGTTATTTTCAAATCCATCTGAAAATAACCATCTCGGTCTTCTTCGCAGCCCAACCAACAAGAAAACTGTCCACCCAACAAGAAAAAATTGAGGAAAAGGGAACATTTATTAACACATTTTATGAGGCCAACATCACCCTATACTAAAACCAGACAAAGACACTACAAAAAATGAAAACTACATAACAATTTCCCAATGAACATAGATACAAAAGTCCTCAACAAAATATTAACAAAGCCAATTCAATAATGCATTAAAAGTGTTATACACTATGACCAAGGATCATACATCATGACCAAGTAAGATTTCTTCCAGGGACCAGGGATGGTTTAACACCCAAAAATCAATCAATGTAACTCAACATATCAACAAACAGAAAGATAAAAATCATATCAATAAAGGCAGAGAAAGAATTTGACAAGTTTTGAGAACCATTTAAGATTTAAGAAACTGGGGATAGATGGAACATTCCTAAGCCTAATAAACCTAACAAACCCACACAACCAATATCATTCTCTATAGTGAAAAACCAAATGTTTCAACTGAGATCTGGTACAAGACAAGGATGTCCACTTTTGCAACTACTATTCAACATAGTATTAGAAGTCCTAGCTAGAGCAATTAGGCAAGAGAAGTATATACAAGGAATCCAAATTGGAAAAGAAAGTAAAACTATCATTATTTTTAAATGTGATTACATATAGAGCAAAAAACGCTAAAGCCGTCACCAAAAAAATTAATTGAAACAATAAATCAGTTCAGCAACGTGGCAGGTTACAAAATCAACATACAAAAATCAATTGCTTTCCTATGTGCAAACAATTAGCTATAAGAGGAAGAAATAAAGAAAACAATCCCATTGACAATTGCATCAAAAATAAATAAATTCCTAGGAGTAGACTTAACAAAGGATGTGAAGGACTTATACAATGAAACCTATGAGATACTGTTAAACAGAAGAAGGCACAAAGAATTGGAAAGCTAGTCACCGCTCACTGGGAGAATTAACACTGTCAAAATGGCTGTTACTCAAGGTAATACATAGATTCAATGCAATTCCTATCAAAGTTTCAATGGAATTCTTTAAAGAAGTATGGGCCTCCCCTGGTGGTGCAGCGGTTGAGCGCTGGGCTGGGAAGCTGCCCGCAGCCTCTGCAGCACCGGTTCAATCCCCGGCCCCTAGCGAGGATCCCACATGGCGCGCAGACCTCTCCTGCCACCCGCTGCTCCCCTCAGCAGTGTACTTCGGTCCTTCTGCCTGTTCTGCTCCCCGCTCTGGCTCTGGTGAATTCTCTCACCCTCCTGTGCTTCTGACTGTACCCAGTGCTTGTATAAATAAATAAATAAATATTTATTTAAAAAAAGTATAATAAGCATTACTGAAATTCATATAGAACCACAAAACACCATGAACAGTCAAAGCAATCCTGAAAAAAGAGGAAGAATGGCAGTATCACATTCTGAAATTTCAGATTATATTATGAAGCTATAATAAACAGTATGGTACTGAAACCAAAAAAGACATGCAGACCCGTGGAATAGAATTGAGGGCCCAGAAATAAATCCACACTTAAATGGATAGTTAATCTATGATAAAAGAGCCAAGACTATAGATTGGAGAAAGGAGAGTCACTTCACCAAATTGTGTTAGGAAAACTGGACAGCCAAATGTGAAAGAATGAAGCTAGACACTATCTCACACCATACACAAACGTTAACCTAAAATGGATTAAAGACATTGATATAAGGCCTGAACCATAAAATACATAGAATAAAACACAGTCAAAGCATTTATGAACATGTCTTCTGCAATATCTTTGGGGATTCATCTCCAACAGCAAGGGAACAAAAGCAAAAACAAATGGATCTACATCAAATTAAAAAGCTTCTGCACAGTGAAAGAAACTGTCACTAAAATAAAAAGACACCCAACTGGATGGGAGAATATATTTATCCGTTATATATCTGACAAGGAGCTGCTATTCCAGATCTACAAAGAATTCACACAATATTCAAACAAATAATGTCTTAGAATGTTTCAGAATTGGTGGAATGAATTCTTATATCTAAGAATCACAATGAATTCTGCATTTCAAAAACTCAATTGATAGCTAAGCACACTAGTAAAACTGAGGACACTAAAGTTGAAGAGCAATTAGAAAGAAAAAGAACAGCTGACAGACAAGTCTTGG